GGTGACCAAAGTCAAGGCCAGAAGACAGGGGCCAAGTCCAGTTGGACCAGAGTTGAGGCCAGAGGTTAGGGGCTAAGTCCAGAGGACTGGACTTAAGACTGGGAGTGCAGGAACAAGACCAGTAGCATGGGAAACCGACTGGTCTTGGGGTGCACACAGGTCTCAAGTTCATGGTTGTCCAGGTTGAGGCCAGACTGGAGACCGAAGCAGGTGTGAGGCCAAGGGGTCAGAATCAGGAGGGAAGTCGAAGATACAGATGGTTGGACTGTTTGGACTTAGCAACTGAGATTACAGTGCTATTCCCTTGCATGGGTCTCAGTCCAAGTCTGAGGCTGAGGTGGGGTTATCAGGGTAACTTAGTTGATTTCAGACTGAGAGGTACAGGCCAAGTATCTACAAGTTTATATACTAGAGAAAACTACAGTATGGAGACTGGTAGTGCCAGTCTCGCAAGGATTGCTAAGATGATTGGTAAGACAAGGATTAGTAATGCATGACTAAGGTAACAGAGACCAGGACAGAGTGGACCAGGGACAAGACTGGGTAGGGTTTAACTGAAGTGACACACACTGCAAAGCAGTGTGTACCATGCTAGACTATCTAGGGACAAGGGGACAGGCAAGGCCAAGGCCAGACTGAATGAACATGAGGCCAAGTCTGGCTGGGGTCGGAGCATGACCATGACAACAGGGGGAAGCCAGTATGGGGTTGGATCTACCTCCCTTGGTCTCAGCTTATGTGCTGTACCCTTATGCAAGCTGGGCAGAGGTCCAGGACAGGGGCCAGGGATAGCTTAAGGCTTGGCCTTAGCTATAGAGTAGTCTCAAGGGGTAATACTAAGTTGATATTCTGACTGGGGTGCTACAAAGTATGTACAGGGGTTAAATACATGAGGCCAGTCCAGGATAATGAACATAGAGCTGGACTTGTTAATAAGCTATTAGCAAGAAGATTAGCAAGAGAGTGGATAGCCACAGTGGCTGTGCCAAGGCTAATAGCCAAAGTCTGGGTGACTGGCATAACCAGGGTTGGGCACAGGATTTGTACAGTAAGCAGAGTCAGACAAAAGACCAGACTAAATATAGTACAAACAAAGGAAAACAGACTGGAGTTATGTCCGGGTGAGCCAGACATGGACCTGGGAGGACTGGGGTGGAGCAGTGCAAGGCCAGGAGGCTGGAATGGACTGGAGATAGGGGTAAAAGACTGGACTTGAATTACCTAGGCCTGAGTTGGGTTACCTAGCATTGGAGTTGTGTTCTCTAGGCTGGAGTTAGGTTTCCTAGGCCAGACTAGGACCAGAGTTGACTGGAGTTAGGGGCTAGGGGTCTAGACTAGACCAGGATTGAGTCCAAGAGTCATGGGTATGACAGTCATCTACCCTAGAATAACCTATCTGTGAGTAAAAAGTTACATGACTAAAATAAAAACTTGGGCCATTGTGCTCAGTGCCCATGTCTGTCAGATCTCACATCTTCAATGATCACTGTTGCAGATCAAGCTGTGATCTTCAACTTGTCTTTCTTCCTCGAAGTCACCATCATTGGTGTGTTTCCTGTGTGTGGTAAGTGGTCATGATACATGGTGGGTAGACCACAGGTCAAATTCGAGTGTAGTTTGCTTGATAACAGTGTCGATAGCCTTGACCTTGACTGGTGGTGGGAAGGTCTTCTCCCTGTACATAGTTGTAGTAGGCACTTGTGTTGTGCTCCCCTGGATGTCACTCATACTTCGTCATGTATAGCTGTTTTCCCTAGAATAAAGTAATCACTTCAGTCACCCCCCCAGGGGACCTATTAGGTTCATATATTCTTATAGATGTATCCACCTAATAGGTGTTGACCACCTGGGTATTCCCAGTGACTGCTGGAGATTTGCCAGGCCCTGGAGATTCTCCAGAGCAAGGTGTCAAACATGGACTTTCTCCAGGATTATTACATCTATAACAGAGTGCCTGGGGTCCAAATGGGGCTTTCCCCAGTGGGTTAATAGACCTATGTCCTGGGTATCCTGGGGGATTCTCCAGCCTAAATGGACCTGTTCCCAGGGCATGCTGGGGGATTCCCCAGGCTAAATGGACCTGTTCTCTGGGCATGCTGGGGGATTCTCCAGCCTAAATGGACCTGTTCCCAGGGCATGCTGGGGGATTCCCCAGGCTAAATGGACCTGTTCCCAGGGCATGCTGGGGGATTCCCCAGGCTAAATGGACCTGTTCTCTGGGCATGCTGGGGGATTCTCCAGCCTAAATGGACCTGTTCCCAGGGCATGCTGGGGGATTCCCCAGCCCAAATGGACCTGTTCTCTGGGCATGCTGGGGGATTCCCCAGCCTAAATGGACCTGTTCCCTGTACATCCTGGGGGATTCTCCAGCCTAAATGGACCTGGTCTCTGGGCATGCTGGGGGATTCCCCAGCCTAAATGGACCTGTTCCTTGTACATCCTGGGGGATTCTCCAGCCTGAATGGACCTGTTCCCAGTGCATCCTGGGGGATTCCCCAGCCTGAATGGACCTGGTCCCAGGGCATCCAGCCCAAACAGACCTGTTCTAAGATGATCATGGGAACCTCCAGTTCAAATAGACCACCATCACAGCATGAAGGATCAATCAAAATGATTTGGAGTCTCCATGTTGCTGACAGGAGTGTGTATCATGCCAAGTACCTATTTCCATGGCATCTGATCTGAGCACTCTATACAATATGTGAAAAAGCATGGCCATAGACCACTAAGGAAAGACTGGTGACATCTGATGGAGGGAGTAGAATATACTTGGTGATGGTGATTGCCCAGGCACAGCAGACATACTTTCACCATGCTTCCCAAGGCTTCAGTGATCTCCAGTCTTGGCCATTGTATACAAGTCAAAGATTGTCCAGGTCTTAATGGAATTTTCCCACCCACTCTGGGGATCCACAGGGTATGCAGCAGATCCTCCAGGTAATGCTTGGAATTTCCCAGCCAACTCCTGTCTCTAGAGGCTCTCCAAGCTATGTCCTGGGGATTCTCCAAGCACTGCTGGGGATTCTCCAAGTGCTACTGAGGATTCTCCAACTGACTCTGGAGATTCTCCAAGCTATGACCTGGGGATTCTCCAAGCACTGCTGGGGATTCTCCAACCCACTCTGGGGATTCTCCAGGCAATGCTGGGGATTCTCCCACCCAATCTGGGGATTCTCCAAGCACTGTTGGGGATTCTCCAGGCAATGCTGGGGATTCTCCAAGCACTGCTGGGGATTCTCCAACTGACTCTGGGGATTCTCCAGGCAATGCTGGGGATTCTCCAACTGACCCTGGGGATTCTCCAGGCAATACTGGGGATTCTCCAACTGACTCTGGGGATTCTCCAAGCACTGCTGGGGATTCTCCAACCCACTCTGGGGATTCTCCAAGCACTGCTGGGGATTCTCCAACCCACTCTGGGGATTCTCCAACTGACTCTGGGGATTCTCCAACCCACTCTGGGGATTCTCCAACTGACTCTGGGGATTCTCCAACTGACCCTGGGGATTCTCCAGGCAATGCTGGGGATTCTCCAACCCACTCTGGGGATTCTCCAGGCAATGCTGGGGATTCTCACCAATGGAGATTCTCCAAGCACTACTGGGGATTCTGCAGGCAATGCTGGGGATTCTCCAACCCACTCCGGGGATTCCCCAAGCACTGCTGGGGATTCTCCAGGCAATGCTGGGGATTCTCCAACTGACTCTGGGGATTCTCCAAGCACTGCTGGGGATTTTCCATGTTATGACCTGGGGATTTTCTAACCAATTCTGGCATTTCTATGTTGGTAGCTACTGAGAACTCTTCCCCCTGAAGCCTAGGGCAGAGCCCCATGCCCTTCACATGGACATCATAGCTCTAGTGGATGTCTGGTTCCATGGATTTCACATTCCTATCTCACACATAGCAGTTTGCACCTAAATCCAATCTGTATTTATCATAGGGTATGCTATCAGATTGAATATGCATAGGTGTGAGGAGAAAATGAATGGTCTTGTAAGGGTATTGTAGTTACAATGGTAACAAAAAGACCATGGTGGATAATGGACAAAATGAATGATGGCAGACATTACACAAAGGAAGGATATGCAGGGGGAAGATGATACAGCCACAGGGTATCATTGTTACATGCTAACGATGCAAACATGTTGAACTGGTGTGTACATGAGCCAGTAGCAAGTGAATGATTGAGATGAAAACATGCCTAGTAGTGGTTGCGTCAATCATGGGTGTGATAGGAACATCCACCAGAGTCATCAGAGTCATGACGATGATGTCTCTTGTGGGGAGGGTTTTGATAAATGTATTCAACCACACTGTGCATGTTAGTCTCATTGTACACGTAGGCTACCCAGCAACATACCTTCAGTGAGTTCTTCCCTGTTGTGAAGGACCACCATGATCACTCTCATTGTCCTGATATCCTCTATAGTGCTTGTGTGACTCATGCTGAGGGCGGTGGCGAGGACATGGGGTCAGAGAGTAGTTATCAGAAGGGGGGTGATGATGATATGCAGTTGCTGGAGCAAGATATGTGTGATGATCACCATGCAATGATGGACCTTGTGGAGATGACTGTAGTGACTCCTCGACAGGGGATGAAGGAGGGAGAGGGGAGTGGTGGGATGCTGGCTGAGTGGAACGAGGTCCATGGGATGGCAATTGCCCTCACCTCAGGTGGTGTGATCCTGCAGGAGAGGGGTGACGTGTGCAGGATGGTGATTGCTGTCATCGGGTGTGGTGGGATGTTGAGGGAGACACATGGCGCTGCACAGGTGGCTGGGGTGATCTATAAGCTGGGGATAAAGAAGGCACAGTCATACGGTGGGTGTTGGATGCTGCTGGAAAGGGGTGATGTCTGTTGGATGGCACTTGTCCTCACACAGGTTGGTCAGGGAAGGATGAAGGGGCACTTCTCTCCTTAAACTTGTCACCTTTAGGGAGGGCCTTAATGAATGCATCTGAATCAGAAAGAACATGGAGGTGCCAGTTCAATGTGTTCACCACAAGTGGGATGTCACACATCCTTGCATCACTGTGGTGAAATAGCTCAATCTGATCTGGATTATTCATGTCAGTGAGGGCAACCATTTCGTGTCAACAACTCACCATCAGTCCATTTCTTGAGGTAAAATGATGAATTCGGCAAAGGGACAAGGTATTCAGCTTGGTCTTCTTCGTCATCTAGTGGAGCCTCAGCATGGTAATCTGCACCCATTGACTCTTTCAGGAAAGGAACAGTCAGAGCACAAAGTTCATCAGCATTGAGGCATTTGACATTGAAATCCAGGACCAACAGCAGGGACTCCAGCAGGCCAATCAGTGATGGTATACTGGTGAACATACAGCAGATCAAGCAATGACTTCCAAGAAACATTTCTCTGGCCTTGTGTGATACCATTCTCTTCTCTGGCAGCACTTCAGAGGATGAATATGAATCAAATAGATTTATTGACGTACGGAATTTATGGAGTATGATTGTAGGTAAAACTCGCCGATTGCAATCATGCCTGTATTCTTGAGGTTTTAATCCCAGTGCACAGTCATAATGGGGTTGTGACAGCACATTAAAGTTGGGAAGAGGCACCGAAGCAGCAGAGTTAAGGATTTTATACCTAAAGAAAAGTCAGTGGGCAATTGTACATGGCATATGTTATACATACTTGATAATGGTGGACAGGTATTCTAATAATTGTGTTATGTTGGTCTGCCTCTCACTTGCAAGCTGCATGAGAAGGGAGGATCCAGCAAAAATTCCTTGGGATTGGCATGCAGCTTCATCACTCCCACTATAAATTACACATCCAAAGACATGTATGCCCTCCACATTGCACCAAGTTTGTGCCTGTACAAGAGGTTATTCAAGAAGCAAACAATCACAACGGTATTACCCACCCCTTGTGTAAAGGAGTCACTGGCAAGCCAGTACATGGCCCACCATTGCCTTGGAACTGATGTCTTTGGACCCACTGACACACTCACTCCAATACTTCCAGATCTCAGCCCACAGTTGAGGATGTTCATCCTCATCTTTATGGTCCTCATAGTGCTTGGTGTGATGCCTATAGTAGTCTTTGGTTTCCTCTGCAATTGAATCAACGTGGAGTCGAAACTGCAACAAGTTAGGATGTACTGACCTGCAGACACTTTTGGATTGGTATGTACATACCAAGCCTGATGCATGTTCCACACAGATTCAGCACAAGTTGCCTTTGTGGTAAGACCAGCAGCAGCCATGATTGACCCAAGAGTCTTGCCATACTCATCTGCAATCACCTGGGCTTCTTGAGTGGTGTGCATGCCAAGTGCCTGTGCCTTTTGTATGGCTTCCAAGGGAAGCTGCCCTGGTTTGAAGCACAGTAAGCCTGCTTCTGCACTGGATGTATCCTCGCATTGACTGAGGTCACTGGCTAGGGTAGGCGCAGAGGGTGTGACTACTACCTTGCAGAAGGCACAATGTCAGTCCTTTGGGTTTCCCATGCATCCCGGTCATCTCCAAGCCATCAGGGAGGTCTCCAGTGTCACTAGGTCCATCCTCATCTTCAGAGGATGTGTTGGCTAGGGCACAAGATTTCCCTTTGGCTTCCCTATGCCTCCTGGTCACAGAGCTGTCAGTGTCGCCTTCAGTATCAGCAGCTCCATCTTCTTCTTCTGATGAGGATGGAGAAGGGAGAGGGGGAGTGGAAGGATGGTTATCAGTATCATAATTGCCAGCGCAGATTTCTCTCAGGGTTTGTTCATGTTTAAGGTCGCACCTCTGGTCAGCTGACCAATCACTGTCTATTCAATGACACATGTAAATTATGTGAATAATGCAGTTTAATCAAATAAACAAACCTGATGCACTTTCATGCTCAACATCATCATGACGAATGGAGTCCATCATATTTTCAACAGCTTGGCGACCATCATGATCCACCAGGTCCTCTGAGACCAGATCACCTTCAGCTTGCACCGTACTCTCAACAGCTTGTTCATCCTCTTCACTGTCATTGGGGGTAACAGCTGGTGGCAACCTTGAGAAGGAATACAGCTACATACATAGATCACACACTTACACTTTTCACGACCCTGCTCAGCAACTATATCTTCCATAGAAATGATGCCCAATCATAGCTGCTCAAGGGCAACAGCACGGTCAAGCTTCATACCATTCTGGAGTGTAACCTGTTTCAGTCTGGAAGGAGTCAAGGTACTGATCCTCGCGTTCTTTCTCTGTCAACCCTTGCAAAGAATTATGACTTGAGCTGCAGCTGGAGAGGGGGACATCGAGCTACAGAGCTGGATTCACAGTTCTGAAAACAGTGGTCAGTAAGCAAAAAAAAAAAAAAAGGTAGTGCTACACACCAGGCACTCCTCACCATCCCCTGACATTGGCTCGTGTGTTTCAGAAATCGTATCCTGATTTCTGCCTCACGCTGATAGAAAGAGTTGAGACAGTAGTACACAAGACACAGGAAGTAGGTCTGTACTCACATTTAACTACCCAGTGACAGGCCTTTGCACCACGTGAAGGTTGGGCTTTGGTGGGCGAAGTGATGGTAGGATTGACTCTCTTTGACCTCCTGGGCACCAATGGGGGGACCAACTTTGAAAGTAACAGCAGACGACCTAGTCACAGGCATGATGAATTTGACCTGGTAGACACATAGTCAATCTGTGGGCCAGTGGAACTGTGGAACACGTAGTCACCACACACTCTTTGCTGATGCGAAAATCAAGTGAGATGGAAAGGAAAAGACGTTCAGGTAAGGAATGACTGGGTAAGGAAAGACTGGGTTCAGGCCAAACATTGGTTAGTGGACGATTCCTGATCTTGCACAAAGGGCTACACACCTGATTTGAAGCGAGTGAAGAAAAGAAGGCAAGGAAGAAGAGAAAACGGAGGATGAAATGTTCACTACTGAGCTATTTATTTGGTCCTGGAAGAAGCCTACACACCTAATTCACACTAGCACCCTCGCTTCCTTCTAGCTTGCACAATCCTATTGAGAAGGGTCAATTGAATGGAAATCTGGCATTCAGGGCAGAGGAAAAATGCGGCATGTCAACCAATAGAGTAGGACTGTCATTGTCATTGTGAGCAGAAGATATAATAAAAACAAAAAGTTGATGTCAAACCTACAGACAGCAGCTCAAGGGTGATATATTCTTTTGACAAATAACCATGGTAGGTGTCAGTGAACAGTTGATAACAATACAGGTACCTTGGAATATGGATGATATCACTACAAGAAATTAGGTTCAGGGGAGCATTGACATTAAACCTTATTTTGACATCTATTTCATAACATTCATAGATTCAACAAAAAGATTTAAACATACCTCCTTGGACAACAGTACCAGATGGAGTGGGTAAGGAATGAGACAAGTGCCAATGAACAGGATAATGTATACCTGGTAACTAGAGCAGGTATATTCTTAGATCCAACAAACAGAGACCACTACACATACCTGATGACAATGGTGAACAAAGTTGACACATGATCAGATTTGTAGGTCCAATGAAATGCAAAGGTAGGACATACCTCATAACAATGATAAGTGAGGATCAACAGTCAATAACTATATATCTACCACAAACTGCAATTCAACACAGAGTGGGTGGGTGCAGAATGAGGTGAGTGGTCGAGTGGAGATGAATGAGATAACTTATACCTAGATATTAAAGAGCATGATCGGATTTGTAAGTCCAACGAAAAGCGACAGTAGCACATACCTTATAATAAGGATAGGTGGGGATCACAGCCGATAACAATACACCTACTGCAGACTGCAATAGAGCACAGAGTGGGTGGGTGAGGGACTGCAACAAGTATGGACAAATGAAATGATTTAAATCTCATACCTGATAATGAGAGTTGCAACAAGTACAGATTTGAACGAGATGATTGAAACCTCACACCTGATAACGATAATGAGTCAGGATCAACATCTGCTAACAATAGACATACCTCAGACAGCAATACTAGGCAGAGTGACAGTGACCCAGGAGAGAAACGAGATCAGCGCTAATGAATGAACATAGGTGTTTAGAATCAGCTGGAAGGAATAGTGCTATAAAACATACCTTTGCAAGTGGGAAGGAGAGGATCTGGGGTGAAGGGCAAGACGAACTCCTCAAGGTCTTGAACCCCACTAGCAGCATGGTGGTGCTGGGGCGACCTCAGTGACACAAAGTCAACAGAGTACAAACTGCAGTGACATGAAGTCAGCTGCAGCTCTGAGTGAGCAGCACGGAGCCAGCTCAGGTTCAGCCAATGTGTCCAAACTTGAAGCATAGAGGTGGCGAGCAGGAAGACGATGACAGGGAGGTGAGAGGATGACAGTCATTCATAACAAAGCACGGAGCTGCTGGGCACTGTGCAGCTGGAACACAGTCCCATGACTTAGGTATTTTTGCCCTGGGAATTCTCCAGGCTATCACATCAAACATCGCTATCAATATATGTACATAAGCATAATAGGTAAATCCCTACAAACAAACAAATACTTGTGATTTTCTGACCACAACTACTCTTCATCCTACTACCCTTGCCTTCCTCACTTTGTCGCTCAGTGCCTCCGCCCTCAAGGTCTCAAGTCCCTCCCCACCACGTGTGTTCATCTCCCATTGGGTTCGAGTTGGCTTCATGCCACTCATCTTGACCTGAAGTTGACTTTGTGTCACTTTAGGTCACACTCTGTTGACTTCGCATCACTGAGGTCGCCCCAGCACCACCATGCTGCTAGTGGGGTTCAAGACCTTGAGGAGTTCATCTTGCCCTCTACCCCAGATCCTCTCCCACCATCGTCCTTCCATTACTTTCTGGTATAAGGTGCATGTTCTATACATGCTATTCACCCTGTCATTCACCCCACCGTTCACCCTGCTGTTCACCCCTGTCGTTCACTTCGTCATTCACCCTGCCATTCTTCCTGGATCCTCTTTCACCACTGTCGTGTTCTTATTTTCTTTCATAAAAGGTGCATGTCAATTACATGCCATTCACACCGTTGTTTACCAAACCCTTTGCCCCAGGACCTTCTCCTACCACTGTCATACTCTTATTTTCTTTTATAAAGGTGCATGTTGTTTACATGCCATTCGCCCCGTCGTTCACCCTGCCCTTTATCCTGGACCCTCTCCCACCACCAACATTTGTTTGCTTTCTTTCACAAAGGTGAGTATTTAATTACATGCCTTTCACCCTGTCACCAACTAATCTACACATGATCTGTCCATTATTCCTTGCAGTTCAATTCCAACACAAGCGAAAATGTCCTGGGGGACTGCACTTACATGCTTCAAAGCATTCACCTGGCCTGGCGATGGTATGTTCCTCTACTTTTATGTTTTCCCGGAGCTTACTTACCATCCACAGCTAAAATTACATCACTGGATGCATGAGTGGTCATGTGCAAGGACTGCTGGGTGATCATGTCGCCCAATGTGGACTTTGTTCTGGAGCCTGTACATTTTTGAAGAAGTTGATCTTTGTCCACATGCCGATGGTCGGTTCGGCCTTGCCGATTGCTTCCAATGGCCTCAAACATATGAAAAAAACTACAAATATGCTGTTTGCATACCTCAAAAAAATATGGTCCCTACTCTCAATATTGCTTGGTTCACTCTGACATCTGTGGATTTTGTCCTTCCACTCAGCTCTGTGTATCCGGTGGGAACACTTGAAGAGACAAAGGTCAAGGCCTTTGAAGAGCTACTTCAGCAACTGCACAGCCTGCTACCACCCCCTCCGCAATTGACCTGTGGGTCAAGACCTTATGACCCAACTAGTGCAGTCAGTTCAACATGAGGTTTTGTGCTTGTGGCATCACCCCCTTTTATTCTGAGACCTCAGTCATTTTTGTTGCCCAGCTTCAGTGCAAGCTGCTTGACATTTACGCTTTGCTCGAATACATTGAGATCCTCTACCCTGCTTCTTTCATCTCCCCTGCTCAAAACCTGTACACACAAACCCCACCTGGATGGGGTGCTTCACGAAGGATACTGCCACTTGTGAAGCACTGTATTTCACTGGGGTGCCAGTCTGGCTCATGCATACCGAGGTGTACATCTCCCCTGATATGAATATCAAGGAGCCTGTGAGATTGACATGCCCTGAAGACATAGTGAAAGCTATGTATTCCGAAAAGGGGGTAGCTAAGCCATTCCCATCAATCTACCGTGGTGCTGGCAGTCTCCTGCACCAAATTCACACTCACAGGGACTATGAGGGTACATTTGCAGAGCAACCAGAGCCCCTGCAAGAATCATTTGCCACATCCTTGTCGAACCCATCTTCAAGCACTGGGAAGCAATCAATGAAAAAGCAGACAAGGGCTGCCAGGGAACAAGCGACTGCAGGCCCCTCCAGAGGTATGTACCCTAATTTTCTTTCTGCTCATTCCTGACCAACTTGTAGCTTCGCACCCCAAACAATCAGGTGGTGGGGACTCGGCAAGGTGGGAAGAGCCTGATCTTCCAGAAATTCCCAAGCCCCACAGTCTGTTTGCATTGGCTTGGAGGAAAGCTTCAAAGGATATATCCAGAGTCAAGTCAGGCATTGTGGACCCTGGTTATCACTTTCCGAAGCCCACACTGTTGGTCAATGTGACCACCCCTGAACTGAAAGAAGACGTACATGTTGAATTGGCTCTCTGCTCGCCTGGCTTGGATGAATTCGAGTTGACATTTGGTCTCTGCAGAAGAGCCCTTCCCCTCAGATGTGGAGGGACTTCCTCAATGGTACTGACACAGAGTGCTTGCCCTCTGGCACCCAGAGTGCATCCACGAAGTTGGTGGTTCAGGCGAATTTTGGGGGACATCATTCAAGCAGCTTATGATGATCCTGTTCATATGTCAGAAGAGATTGAGTGGAGGGGAATGCAGGTTTGTATTTCATCCTATTTAGATCTGTTCTTCATACTTATCTTGCAGCAGGTCCGGGCTTCGAGCCTTTCAGACCCACCCCTTCATTTCACATGTTCCCTTCTATGGGAACTCTATGAACTCAACTTCTACTATGAACTTCATGCACTCGATCAGGCCCTTGTCCTGCAGCTTTGGCCTGATAGCCTAGATAAGTATATGCGCCAATCACTTCTTTGGTCTATCTTCCCTGGTGGATGTGGTCTTTCAAGTTGGTCGGCACCTCTTCCTCAGGAGCCACATGATTTGGGGTTGACTGCTAGTGCGATGGAGGTGGCATTGCCATATCTGAACAAGTTCTGTCAGTTGCTATCTGCATGGCCAGGAGCACCCTTTCGTTTGAAGTCCCCAATCGAGCTGGATGGCTCTGGCAACCAAGCAGCATATGAAGCCTTCATCTTGGCTTGTGAATTCTACATCCAAACTGCATTTGATTATCTTGGGCATCAACCATCCCTCCCCTGCATTTTTACCTTTGTCTGACATCCTCTGCCACATATCCTTTTTTTTCTGTCCAAATTTGTTTAGTACGAGTATGTACCATGTCGTAAAGCAGGCTGAATCAATTCGATGATTCGGAATGTTGCCTGTGACTGAACTTTGATCTCACGCTTTGTGCTCACTGCCTTTTTTTTTGTTGATAGCAACGTGTTATTCACTGACACTCCCACTGCCAGGCAAGGAATGTTCCCATCCCCCTTCACTGCTATTGACACTTTATCTGCATCAAGATCTGCACCATTTGATTCTTTGAGACTCGTTCTGCTTGGTATGTGTGACATCTTGATGATGGGGTTCCTGCTCACTGTGATGTTGATAGCGACTTTTGTTTTTAACTGCTCAAGACTTGTGCTCTGGTAAGTAGGATCCTACTTGGCTGTATGTGGTGATCTGACAAATTTTCTGCATAGTTTTTCCCTTCCAGAGGTTTGTCATCTGGTCAAAATCCCCTTGGACTGACACCCCCTGCTGACTTCGTGTCATGCTTTCCACCACCTGTTGACTTCGAGTCCCAGGTGTACTGCTGTTGGCTTTGCGTCACGGTTTCCAGAACGATCTGAGATGGCTGTTTGCTGTCCAAAGCCTCAGAAGCATCACAATGCTTCGCCTTCTATGAGTAATTCTAATATTGTGAGTTTTCCCTGTCTTCAAGCCTCATGTTGTGCTCATCATTTCTCTACAGGCCTCCTCTGCTTCATCTGTCCAAGCTGGTCTGGTACCCAGTGTACTCACTGACCATCCTTCATCTTTGTCTGGTAATGAGCCATCGCTTTGTACTTCTGGCCCTTTGGTGTGTGCAATTTCATTATGGTATTCTTCATATCATCTTAGCTCCCCTACAGGTCCTATCGATGTCATCTGCCTCAACCAACTGGCTGCCCAATGTAGCCACTCCATCATCAAACAACCAAGTGTCACTTGGTATACCTGCCCCTTCAGTATGTTCTGATCCTATGTCTAAGAGGTTATATGTGTTTACTTTTAGGTAGAATATGACACAGTCATTGTTTGTCCCTCCTCCCCTAGCTCATCAACGCCGCCCTTTTGGTACAAAAGCGCTGTACCTCCCTGCACCTCCACCTGTCTTTGTACTTCCAGGCCGCCAATGCTGTGAATGAGCTCGAACTCAGTGAGGTTGGCTTGCCTTCATGTCCAAGTGGTTCACAGAAGCATGAGAACCAATGGTGATGGTGGTCACAAGATATCATTCCAGCACTTCTCAAGCCCTACATGTGCTATCTTGAGGCATCCCAATCCCTCTGCATGGTGGTAGACCCCCCAGTCATCCATCGATGTTGCACTTGCACAGTGTATCAACTCACTGTTTGCTGTCTCTTCTTTGACCGTATGTGACCCTTTTGTTGTTTGCTCTTATGATGCTTATGTATACCCATGTTTGGAGGACGTTGGGATAAGCTACTGTGCATGCACCCCAGCTCCTATATGCCTCATGGGCCATGGGTTATTTGCATCATCTCCTGTGGTACCTACTCTGGCAGTTGACCTTCGTGTACTGGAGTTTGTAAAGAAGCTCTTTGTCCGGCTAACCCCAAACACAACTGCATGGTGTGAAGCACTTGAAAGCTTCCTGGATGGTCGAGGGTATAGACTGCCATTCAAGGTATGTACTTTTCCAAACACCATCACTGGATCTCTGCCTTCGTCTTCACATCCACCCTGTATGCTACTTCTTGTATTGGTATATCATCATGGTTTGAATGTACATGTACCCACACAAATATCTCTGGTGTAATGATGGGTGCTTATTCAAATAATCAGGACAATCTCTGGCAGCATTTCAGTAATGCTTATCATTGGTATACTGTATTGACAATATATGTGGAGGACCATATTTCTGCTATGGTCCAGTCCTTTTGCCCAAACTCCATGCCACAGCAAGATAGCCCCTGGCCAAGTGACTACCTATGTGCTCACTGTCCTCTTTGCTTTGGGGGAGGTGACTTACAGAGCTCTAACCCTCCTCAGGATGAGTGAGTCAATGACAAGCTCATTGTTGCTGACTAGATGACTGAGACCCAATAGCTTTGACTGCATTGTCTGCTTAGATGCATGTTTCACTCAGAAGAGAACCAACAAATCTGCCACTAATGACCCTCCCAATCCCACCAGCACTGTATTCATCCCTGAGTCAGAGGTGAAGGCCATGGAGGTTTTCATTGAGAAACAGAGATCCCTCCCAACCAGTCAACATCATTCTCAGACTCAAAACCAGCAGGACATGTTGGAGGATGGAATGAGGGTGCCTGCCTCTGTGTTGGATGGGTGTGGAGATTCTTTCCATGCAGCAGATGAGAAGAGGCAAAAGGCCAGCACACAATTTTTTGCAGATACAGGGCTTATGGCTTTGTTGTGTCATCATGATTGTGTCCTCTGGTTGGTTAATATGACATCAGCAGGTGAAAAGCAGCACTATGCCCTAGCACTGGTGAAACATCTCTTTGACCATCTCCCTGCCAAGATGACTGTTGGCCTCTTATATGACATTGGTTGTCAATTGGAGTGTAGCTGTCGAAAGTGGAAACTCCTTGATGATGGGATACTCTCCAGGTTGAAGTTTGGTATTTCTGTCTTCCATGCTTATGGTCATCAATGGCCATGCCAATTGGTATATCACCCATGTAAATGTGTAGGCTTTGGCTTGTCAGATGGTGAGCGGTGTGAGCGACTATGGAGTGCCCTAAAAATGCTTATTCCAATTCTTTGAGTTTCTGGGGTAAGCATTGACTCTTCTTCAAATATAATTCCAGTGCTCATTTTACCCTTAGTATCATCAGAGATTATTTGTCCTTGACAATCAAATTCGACACTTGGACAAGAAGTCTTTTGATGCATTTGGCCAGTGGCTGAGCAGGAAATGGTCCCTCTGCAAAAGTAGGAAATTGGTGGCTTTGGAGGCTCTTCATGCTCTGCATGTTGACATGCAGACTCTACAGCATGAGTGGGCTGCACAAGTACATGCACAAACTCAACTTCTACCTTGTTAGTCTGTTCCCTTTGTGTGTGTGTGATCATATGACTCACCAACCTGTAGGTCAGTCAAAGAACAAGGGTTCTGAACAGTTGGCACATGTTCTTGCCCTGGAGAAAACAGTTGAGGACTATCAGTGCTGTGTGGATCAGTTAGAGAAGGATCTTGTTGATGATTGTGTCAATGACATTGTTGACTACAATCTACAACTTGCTGCAGCAAAAGGGTCACTGTCAAAGGCAGCCCAGGCCCTCAAGAAGAAAAAGGCTTCATTGGGACTTTCTGCCCAAACTGACCTTCATCTGCTGAGGAACAACAAGTGGCTCCAAACACAAACAAATGCACAAGCACTTAAGGTTTGGATAAGGGAACAACTTCATCAGCACAAGTTTGAGTTCCAGTGACTACAATGGTCATATGGGACCTCTTCCAGTAGTGAGCAATTTTTTATTTCTGGCTGCTATGTTCAATAACATCATGTAGAAAACCATTTACAGTCACATGTGGAGTCATCCATAAAATGATGAGAGCCTACCATCCTGAAACTTGTCACCACATACAATAATCTCTGTGGTGAACTGCAGAGTATGATATGACTGTGTAAGGCACCACCTGGTGCCATCCCTCCCAATCCCATACCTTCTAAAGGTATCTTTCAGCTGGATGTTGATAGTGATATTTGGCAGGATGGTCTTGAGGAGCTTAGTGCTAGCACCCCATGTTGGCTTGCTGATGAGAGTGTGCGCAAGGGAATCAGGCTGATGTTGGAAGTTGATCACTGTAATGAAGAAGAAAGAAGGTTGTCAAGAGAGCGGTCTATCATGCAGGAATGGTTTTCCATGGAGTGGCTGAGTGTAAAGTCTGCTCTGGAAAATGTGGCAGGTGAGTGCAAATACCATGTTTATGTCCCATCTCATAGGGAGTTAGATGAATATTACAAGTATCACCTGCATGCCTACAGGGATTCCATTGTTGCAGTATATGTCAAATGGGAGGCCAAGGTTCGACATATGCCATATGCATGGGCTGCATCTAGGCCATGGGGACCTACAGCAGAAGACACCAGGGATTGCCTTGCTGCTACACATAATCCTGGTGGAACCCATGCTTCAGAGGATCTAACAGCACCAGTATTAGAAGAGAACGACTCTGATGAAGGGGATGTAATGTCAGAAGGAGAGGATGAGCTGTTGATGGCCATTGAAGAGATGGAACTGGAAGAGGAATGTCCCACTGAGCAAGCAAATGAAGGGGAATTTACAGAGGATGAGGATTGGTTGGAGGACATTGGAACTGGTTATTTGCCCTCATCACCATTGCAGGTGCCATCAAAAAGGCATAGATACTAGATGCATACCTAAGCTTCATCAATAAATAGTTTGTGCCCAGAGAAAAGATATGTATGAGTGATCTACATTCAATGTTACCCTAAGGAACTCTGTTTTATGGTGACCTGCAATGCCTTTGACCTCCTGCTGGGTCAAGCATTATGATTGATTAAACTAACAAGAGAATGCACATAGTGCATTGGAAAATCCTCAGCATTGCTGGGAAAATCCCCAGAGTGGGTGGGAGAATCCCCAGCATTGCCTGGAGATTCCCCAGGTCAGAACTTGGAAAATCCCCAGTATAGCTTGGAGAATCCTCAGAGTGGGTGGGAGAATGCCCAGAGCAGGTTGGAGAATCCCCAAGACAGAACTTGGATAATCCCCAGTATACCATGGAGACTCCCCAGAGTGGGTGGGAGAGTCCCCAGAGCAGGTTGAAGAATCCCAAGCATTGCCTGGAGAATCCCCAGCAGTGCTTGGGGAATCCCCAGGTCATAGCTTGGAGAATCCCCAGAGTCAGTTGGAGAATCCCCAGCATTGCCTGGAGAATCCCCAGAGTGGGTTGGAGAATCCCCAGCATTGCCTGGAGAATCCACAGAGTGGGTGGGAGAATCCCCAGCATTGCCTGGAGAATCCCCAGCAGTGCTTGGAGAATCCCCAGAGTGGGTTGCAGAATCCCCAGCAGTGCTTGGGGAATCCCCAGGACATAGCTTGGAGAATCCCCAGAGTTGGTGGGAAAATCCCCAGCATTGCTAGGAGAGCCCCTAGAGACAGGAGTTGGCTGGGAAATTCCAAGCATTGCCTGGAGGATCTGCTGCATACCCTGTGGATCCCCAGAGTGGGTGGGAAAATTCCAATGACACCTGGACAATCTTTGACTTGTATGCAATGGCCAGGACTGGAGATCACTGAAGGCTTGGGAAGCACGGTGAAAGTATATGTCTGCTGTGCCTGGGCAATCACCATCACCAAGTATATTCTACTCCCTCCATCAGATGTCATCAGTCTTTCCTCAGTGGTCTATGGCCACACTTTTTCACATATTCATATTGTATATAGTGCTCAAATCAGATTCCATGGAAATAGGTACTTGGCATGATACACACTCCTGTCAGCAACATGGAGACTCCAAATCGTTTTGATTGATCCTTCATGCTGTGATGGTGGTCTATTTGAACTGGAGGTTCCCATGATCATCTTGGAATAGGTCTGTTTGGGCTGGATGCCCTGGGAACAGGTCCATTCAGGCTGGGGAAACTCCCAGGATGCACTGGGAACAAGTCTATTTAGGCTGGAGAATCCCCCAGGATGCCCAGGGAACAGGTCCATTTAGGCTGGGGAATCCCCCAGGATGCCCAGAGAACAGGTCCATTTAGGCTGGAGAATCCCCCAGGATGCCCAGGGAACAGGTCCATTTAGGCTGGGGAATCCCCCAGGATGCACTGGGAACAGGTCTATTTAGGCTGGAGATTCCCCCAGGATGCCCAGGGAACAGGTCCATTTAGGCTGGGGAATCCCCCAGGATGCCTAGAGAACAGGTCCATTTAGGCTGGGGAATCCCCCATGATGTCCAGGGAACAGGTCCATTTAGGCTGGGGAATCCCCCAGGATGCACTGGGAACAGGTCTATTTAGGCTGGAGATTCCCCCAGGATGCACTGGGAACAGGTCTATTTAGGCTGGAGATTCCCCCAGGATGCCCAGGGAACAGGTCCATTTAGGCTGGAGATTCCCCCAGGATGCCCAGAGAACAGGTCCATTTAGGCTGGGGAATCCCCCAGGATGTCCAGGGAACAGGTCCATTTAGGCTGGAGAATCCCCCAGGATGCACTGGGAACAGGTCCATTTAGGCTGGAGAATCCCCCAGGATACCCAGGAAATAGGTCTATTAACTCACTGGGGAAAGCCCCATTTGGACCCCAGGCACTCTGCTATAGATGTAATAATCCTGGAGAAAGTCCATGTCTGACACCTTGCTCTGGAGAATCTCCAGGGCCTGGCAAATCTCCAGCAGTCACTGGGAATACCCAGGTGGTCAACACCTATTAGGTGGATACATCTATAAGAATATATGAACCTAATAGGTCCCCTGGGGGGGGTGACTGAAGTGAAGTAATCATAAGTAAAATGATCTAAGACCAAACTAAACCTTGAGCCATCAGGCTCAGTATCTGTGCTCCTCGCACCTCATCTGTGTCAAATGGCAAGTCTAGCCTTGCATGGTCATTGATCCTGTAGAACTTTGTATTCCCTAAAATGTGGTAACTGTAAGTAAAATGCTTCAACAAAAAGACTAAACTCTGGGCCATCAAGCCCAACTGGTGTGGCTTCGACACTGTTCACAAGTCACACGTCTTGCTGCAATTCTGACACTTGCTGTCATGCTACCCTTGGTAGCTGTCCTCAGGTGTAAGTCCACAAAATCCCTTCAAATGTCTCTCTTGGGGCACTTCATAGTTGCCATAGTTGTCGTGCTGTATATCTTGTAGCTTCTGTACTAGATGAAAAGAAAAATACCACCTTTGAGCCTTCAGCTTGCTCTGACTGCTTGCCCCATTCATAGTAGCTTGGTCATATCATGTCGCATATCTTCTCCTTGATGGTCCACTGACTTTCCTTGTAGGTTGTTGTAGTTCCTCATATTTCAGTGGCCTAGGTGTCACCCAAGTGTTGTCTCATACATCCATTTTCCCTAGAATAAAGTAGTTGAAAGTGAAACATCTTAGAATTGAAGCGAAACCTCAAGAATTTGAGCTCAGTAACCTCCATTGCACTCCATGTCCATGGGGCAGGCATTCTTGTGTCATGCAGCCATCAGTCTGTGTTGAATGTTGTTGTCAATGTCACTGTAGTTGTTGCTGTTGCTCTTGTCATACTTCTGGGTGAGCTTCATTTGTAGTTTGTCCTAGATTCTTGAATTGCGATCACCAGGGCATTGGTTACACTTCGTCACAGCCATCCACTATCCCTAGAGTAGAATAGCTGTAAGTAAAGTGTTCCAAATTCAAAACAAACCTTTGAGCTATCTAGCTCAGTATCTGCACTCCTCGTGCCTCATCTCCATAGAATGGCACTTCTAGCCTTGCATGGCCATCGCTCCACATCCAGCACTGTCATCATTGTCTCTTGTATTGCAATTGTCTGGGCATCAGTCACCCTTCGTCACATGTACTGTGAGCTGTTGGGCTCTCCATCTGCACTCCTTGTGCCCCATTTCCATCAAGTGGCACATCTGATCTTGCTTGGCCATCGATCTGCGCTAAGTCTAGTCGTTGTTGTCATTGTCACTATCATGCTACTTGCTGCCATTGTTGCTCTTGTCCTTGTTGCCATCACTCGTAACCATGGTAGTTCACATATGGTAGGTCATTCTCCCCATTCTTCATATCCTTTGATCACTGTGATCTTGCATAGTTGGCCTGTAACACTAGAGTCATCAGTATGTAGTACTTGAGTGCACATGGCCACAACACACAGAGCAGTCACGTGACTCTGCTTAGTCAACATCACTGGACTTCCTCTACAAGTCCTAATACCAAGTGCACACATTGATTCTCTTGACGGATTCCTGAATAAAATATATATCATTGGCACTGCACGGTTGCAGAACATTTCAAGTGGGAGGTCATCCACCCTTGCCACATGCTTCAACAATTCTACTTGCAAAACTTCTTGTAGCAGCTTCCTTCATGTGATGAGCCTCAATGGCTCCTTGATCCTGATTCTTCTTGCAATAACCCTCAACCCAGTGTGATTCATATGCTGTGGCATCCTGTGTGAGTCAACTACCTCTTTGTCTGCTGACCTTTTCACTTTGGGACTGTCTGCAAGCATTTTGAGCTCCTTGACTTTGACACCTGTGGGCTTCGCCTGTTCTTTGAGCCTTTCTGCTTTGAATTTGAGTGGAATCTTTGACACAAATAGGTTGTTGGTTAACTGATGTGTATCTTTGCTGACTACTGGAACTCTGAGGCTGCTTCTTTTGTTGCCTTGACCTCTTAGATAGGACTCCTATAGCAGTAGCCATCAGAGAGACTTGACATGAACAAGATAAAAAAACCCTTTGAGTGTTGTCATTTGCCTTGAATTCAATTGGGACCTTCTGTCATATCCATGACTCTCAGACTCAGTCCCAGTCCAGTCCAGACCCCTAGCCCCTATCTCCGGTCAAGCCCGGTCCTAGTCTTGCCTAGAAAACCCAACTCCAGTCCTAGATAACCCAACTCTGGCCTGAATAACTCAAGTCCAGTCTTTTACCCCTATCTCTGGTCCATTCCGGCCTTCCAGCCTTGTGCTGCTCCACCCCAGTCCTCCCAGGTCTATGTCCAGGTCACCCAGACACAACTCCGGTCTGTTTTCCTTTGTTTGTGCTATATTTAGTTTGTTCCTTTCATCTGACTCTGCTTACTGTACAAACCTGTGTCCGACCCCAGTTATGCCAGTCACCCGGACTTTAGCTATTAGCCTCTGCATAGCCACTGTAGCTATCCTCATCTTGCTAATCATCTCACTAATAGCTTATTCACAAGTCTGGCTTCATGTTCGTTACCCTGGACCAGCCTCATGTATTTAACCCCTGTACATACTTCATAGCACCCCAGTCAGAATATCAACTAAGTATTACCCTTGACTCTGTATTACCCCTCAAGTCTACTCTATAGCTAAGGCCAAGCCTTAAGCTATCCCCAGCCCCTGTCCTGGACCTCTCCCTGGCTTGCATAAGGGTACAGCACATAAGCTGAGACCAAGGGAGGTAGATCCAACCCTGGACCGGCTTCCCCCTGTGCACACTCCAAGACCAGTCGGTTTCCCACACTCCCAGCCTTAAGTCTGGTCCTCCAGACTTAACCCCTAACCTCTGGCCTCAACTCTGGTCCAACTGGACTTGGCCCCTGTCTCCTGGCCTTGACTTTGGCCACTTGGACTTAGCCCCTGTCACCCAGTCTTGAAGCCTGGTCACCCAAGGGTAAACCTGTACTTGACACCTTCATTACAAGCAGTTCTTCCACCAGCACTGGTTCGACTTGCTCAAGCTTTGGTGCTTCCTATAACTTGGTAGTCAGTAGTTCACTTGTACTTGAAGAAAACTCTTTCTTCTCAAAACAGGCTGCTGCTGCTTTGACAAGCCTGCCAGGAGTTTGGTGTTCATTATTTGCCTTCTTGCATGGACTGCATGGCTGTGCATGACTTGTCAAAGCTACTTTTGGGACTTTCTCGCATTCTATGTACCCTGACAAATCTGTAGATCCATGCATATTGGTTGTCAGCAAGTCATGTGTAGGCATAGTTGGAAAACACTTCATAGGTAGTTGCTGCTTGTCTGAACTCAATTCTGGGTCACTTCATGGTTGAATGTAACATTCTGTGCTTGTCCAAGGTCAGTCCAAGCGAAATCCTTTCTGTAGCATTTTTTAGCCACAGCTGTTACTTGTTCCATGGGCAGGGGTCATCAGAATGTTGCTGTCGATTGTCATGTCACGTTTTCTGCAAGATTTCACACCGAAATTCTTTGTCAAAGCCTTGCAAGTAGAGGTCCTCGAGTTTGTCAGCCTCAAGTTGCCTCAAAACCCATAGATACATTGCTAAATCTAGGAAATAAAGTCTGTAGTTTGTTAGTTCCTCCTCTGTGTGAATCTTTCTGCTTGCTTGACTGTCAACAAGGCTGTAAAGGTCATTTCTTGAATGCTGTTGATCCAATTTCTGGGACCCAGGATACAAACATGCAATAGCCACCATGAATTCAGGCCAAATCAACTGATCCTCAACAAAATCATACCATGATTCAGAGATTTTGCTGCCTGCATACCAGCAAGCCCATTTTGCCCATTCTTGGTCATCGAAGCAATTCTCACGCTTGCAAAGACCCCAAACCCCTTTGAAATACCTAAAAAGGTCAGATGCATGCCCCGAGAACCATGGTGCATCCCTCAAATGCCTCAGTGGCATTCCCTCAAGTTCTTCTGGCACATTCTCATGGCTTCTTCGCAGAAAATTGACTATTAATTTGCCTTTGGGTTTGTTTCTTGACTCGAGGCATCTTCAACTTAGATGCTTGCTTGACATTTGCTGCTCATAAAATAGCTCTGAAAATTTCCTGAATTTGTGAGTGTAGACTGTAACTAGAATCAAAATTCTGAATACTTAGCTTGTCCAACCTAACCCAGCAAAAACTTTGTTTGGTGATAAAAAGGTGGCTTCTTTCCCCAAAACAAACAGAACCCCCCTTGCAGTGGGCTCCAGATGTAGGAATAGGTAATTGATGATACCTAGAAATAGTAATAGTCAGTGATGGGTGAGATTTGTGCTCAACCCAAAAGGGAGGTTCTCTCTGGAGAAAAGAAGTGTAGTAAGAGTGTAAAAATGCGAACTGAAAAGAATACTTAGCTCTGCCTGTGCAATACCTTCTTCCAGTCCTCCTGGCACCTTGGGTACTCCCCAAAGTAATAAATCTAACTTCAAAAACTCACTGAATTGCAAGACAAAATCACCCTACTACTGAGGGCCTGTGACATGGATTGCTTCCCTGGTAAACTGAACTTGCACAAACACAGCACACATGCTTAGTCAGCAATGCAGCTGCTTGCCACTAAGTCCAGTGGTACAAACATGAAAAACAAAAGAAATAAATAAAACAAAAAGAAAACCCTCAACCCCTGAACTCTTGACCAAGACAAATTCTCCTAGGGAACTTGAACTCATTCCTACAGCAGGTGAGCCAGTCATGTCCAAGGACTATCTTACATTCAGAATCCAATGGGGCTAGAAACAGGGTTACCAGGGTGACATCACCAGTCACAAATTGAACTGAGAGATCTACTGCTTGAGTGATGACAAAACTTGATGACCCATCAAAGAGCTGGAGTTGGATAGGGGACACAGGATAAGGGGCAAAACAGTGTTGATTAACAAAATCTCTATCTATGAAGCTATGTGTGGAACTGGAGTCCACTAGTGTATGAAACTGGGGCAAACTGTGGCTGACAATGGAAACATGGGGAGTTAATGAATTTGGATTGGAAAGAGCAGATGCATTGAGACAAGCCTCCATGAGTGCACAGCCAGAGTCAATGCAGCTCTCAGTCTGTGCAGAGTCCTGAGAGCACATTGAGACAAGCCTCCATGAGTGCACAGCCAGAGTCAACACAGCTCTCAGTCTGTGCAGAGTCCTGAGAGCTGCTACCTATTTTTTTGCCTCGGGGGCAGAGCCCAAGGTTGAGGCTGGTGCTGCCTCAGAGGTGGCTGCAGCACAAGCTTTGGCTTTCCCAGCTTTCTTGGGACACTTATCTGCAAAATGTCTGGTGCCCCCACAGAACATGCAAAGGTTGTTGTTTCTGCAATGCTTGCACTCCTCTGGTGTCAGCTTGCCATCTTTGCCCAACTTGCTTGAGTCCGGCTTGGGTGTGTTAGAGCTGGTCTGACTGGTTGAGGTGGGTTTGGACAAGGGCTGGCCACTGGAGTTGCCATTTCTGTCAAGTCTGGGCCTACTCTGACCAACTCCAATGCTAAGCGAAGTCTGGAGGAGGGTTCAGAAGCAAGTCTGACAGGAAAGAACTGAACTCCAACTGGCAGGAGTGTTGGCAGAAACGAAGTCTGCTGAAGCAAAGGTGGAGCAGAGTGAGGGTGTCAGGTTTAGTTCATGCACTACCCCCTTGCACAATCTCAGCCCTCGTATTTCAGAGGGAGAGTACAGACAGAGAGTTGGAGGTAACTCCAACAGACAGAAGATGGAGGTGGGAGGAGTAGGAACTAAGTTGATATTTGTACTGAGGAATGGCAGAGTATGATACATGCTTTTATACAACTATGGGGGTACAGTAACCTGGAATCGGAACTGACATATGGAGACTCATAAACTTTCAAGTAAAATTTCCTAGACAATGAATGAAGGGTAGACAGAGGACATACAAATGGGTAACATAGAACATCCAGAAAAGGAAACAGTCCAGGTGCTGGACCATGTGGTGTGCATGCTGCAGAGTACCTGACTGTGCACTGTCAGGGAGAAGTCCGAAGGTAGTCATGTGACTCCTCAGAGAACAGTCTGCTCAGTCTGGTAGGAGAGCAACACAAGTCCAACAGTAGTCGGAGTGGAGATGGTTTGCAACCCACAGAAACTGGGCGGAGTTGGTGCAGAGTGGGTGAATGACTGGCAGAATAGGGTGCAGAGTGAACAAGGACTTATAATGAATGCATGGTCATGACAGTGCCCCCCCCTAGGGCCTGAACCCCTGAAGGCTGCATGTATGGGACAGGATCAACACAAGTTGATCATTCAAAATTATTTTGATGCCTTGAGGATAATGGCTTTAGCCACAGCAGAGCTCCATTGGAGTTCGAAGTTCCACTTAAAAACACATGTTAGGGTACTGAACCTTCGTATCCCATCCTCCCATCATCATGTCTTCTCAGCATCAGACCAAAACCCCCCAGCCCACCCCTGGTCACTCTCGTGACTACTCCCAGGTTGCCAACAACAACCTAGTCATCCTTACAGATGACTTGATGGACACAGAGCATGAGAAGGCAGCAGAGAAGGCACATCAGCAAGAAGAGGTGGAGAAGAAGGAGCAAGAGCATGAGGTGGAGTGCAAGGCCAAGCAACAAAAGGCAGAAGAGGTGCAGCAGGAGGGGGAGCAGAGGCAGAGAGAGGAAGAGGAGGTGCAGAGGAAGAAGGCAGTGGAGGAAGAGGCCAAGAAGCAGAGGCAGAAAGCAGTGGTGGAGGAGGCTGAGAGGCAGAGGCAGAGGGCCTCTAAGGAGAGGGCTCAGGCCAGGCAGGACAAGGCCACACAAAGGTGAGTGGCAGAGTACTGTGAGTCAGTGGAGCTGACTTGCAGTTTTATTTTCTTAGATTATGTGGCACAGTGTACAATGTCAACACTGCCCAGAGGGTCCCTGGGACCTCTGTGGTGGTCACCACATCCAGGAGGCCCCCCTGCACTCGCTGTGTAGTGAGTCTGACAGTGGGGCAGTGCAAGCCAGGGCAAGGCAAGACCAGGGCTTGCATGCCCTGCCACAACAAGAAGAAGATGTGCAGCTGGATGAAGGAGGACAACATGGCATGACCCTCACAGAAGAGGGCAGGGACAGGAAGTTCCCAAGGGGAGAAGAAGAAGAAGCTGCAAGGGAAGGGGAAAGAGAGAGCAACAGAGACAGAAGAGGTGGATGATGAGCAGGAGGTAGGCAGAGATGAAGATGAGCCAGCAACCCTGCTCAAGGGTCCCTCAGGTGCAGGAGTGCACACGCAGTGGGCAGAGTGGGAGTGGGAGTGGCAGCTGCAGGCCATGGAGAGGCAGGCTGAAGTGCAAGAGACTGCTGCACTGGCCTTCAAGAGGATGGCAGAGGCAGCAGAGTGGATGGCAGAGGCCATGGAGCAGACAGCCAACAAGTGGGGGCTGTACCACATCTGGGCAGAGTGGGCAGAGATGAGGAGGAGGGAGGATGCATGAGAGACCAGGATGGCTGAGCTCGAGCACACAGGTGGAGGTTGGAAGAGGCCTCAGTCAGAGGCAGCAGAGGAACAGCAAGAGGAAGCAGATGAAGGTGCAGAAGGGGACAACAAGGAGGAGGAAGAAGTCAGAGTAGAGCAGGAAGGTGGTGTAGAACAGGAGGGTGGCAGAGAGCAAGCAATGGAAGAGTAGTGTAGTTTTCTGTTTCTTTTTCTTTTGTCTTTTTGTTTTTAGTTTGTATATTTTGTACTACTACAAAATAGACTTGTGACTTTCTTTGTGATTCTGAGAAGTGAAATGGAAAAGTGGAGAAAATTCTAAAGTACTTAAGGTAGTTTGGTAAGGGGTGGAGTTGGCCTGCAGAGGAAGGTTATGTGGATGGAGTTTATGGTGGAGGTTGGTACAGGCCAGGTTTGTGTGGATATCGTTTGTGGAAAGTGGAAACTATGTTGAAACCATGATCTAGCTCAGTTGCAAGCAACCAAGAGGTTTCTTCGTCAGTGCTCTCATAACCAGCCCAGTGGACCAGGTACAAGAGTTGACAGTGGTGGCGGTGGCAGTCCACCTTAGAGTCAAGTATCTCTGATGCTTTGTACTCAAGGTCACCATTGACATCCACTGGTGGAGGCAGAGGTTGTTGTCAGTTTGGAAAAGGGTTAGCCGCTGCAGCTTCCAGTTGTGAGACATGGAAGACTGGATGTACCAAGTGCATAGAGTCAGGGAGCTTAAGGGTGATGGAGTGCATACCTGGCCTGGCCAAGATGGTGAATGGACCTAAGTACTTTTTGGAGAGTTTCTCTGAAGGACAAGTGGAGCAGAAGTACTTGGCTTTGACATAGGCCTGTTCTCCAACCTTGAACTCAGGCAGAGGTATGCATTTGGCATCTGCTGGACCCTGGTAGTGCTGCTGAGCAGCAGACATTTCAGAGCGGAGGAAGTCATGAAGGGCAGAGAGCTCAATGACATAGTCATGAGCCCTTGGAGAGGTGAAGTCTTGGTCAGGGACCACAGACAGGTTTGGATGATATCCCTTGTTAGCAAAGAAGGGAGAAACTCCAGTAGTCACACTTGGTGCATTGTTGAAAGTGAACTCTGCTAGAGGTAACAGCTCAGCCCAGTTGTCTTGTTGGTAGTTACAGTAGACACACAGGTACTGCTCAAGGGTCTGGTTTGTTCACTCGGTCTGGCCATTGCCTTCTGGGTGGTAACCCAAAGTGAAGTGAAGACACATATCAAGGGCCTTTCCTAGAGAGTGGAAGAAGTGTGAGACAAACTCAGGACCTCTGTCGGAGGTGACATTAGCTGGTACTCCATGCTTGGAGAAGACATGGGTGAGGAAGAGCTTAGTGAGTTTGACAGAGGTAATGGAGTCATGGGTGGGGATGAACACCACTTGCGTTGAGAGGCAGTCCACCACTACAAGGATGGTGGAGCAGCCATTGGAGTTGGGGAGGTGTTTGATGAAGTTCATGGAAATGGAGTTCCAAGGTCTCTCTGGGATGGGGAGTGGCTTCAGTAGACCATAGGGGTGGTGTTGCAGAGTTTTGCTCCATCCACAGGCAGTGCAGGACCTGACATATTCTTTCACATTGGAGCAGAGGTTAGGCCACATGTAGTCCCTGTGGACAAGTTCTAGGGTGCAGATTTTGCCCAAAATGGCCTGCTAGAGGATGGTCATGCTTGAACTGAAGCACTCAAAGGCAGAGATCATCAATGTCAGGGACAAAGATGTGACTGTCAAGGTGGAGTAGACCATCGGAATCCAGGGACCCCCAAGGCTTAGTCAGAGTTGGGAGATGGCTGGTGGAGACAGGGTTGGAGGGTAAGGTGGAGATGATGTTGGAGTGCAAGGACTTGACATCGAAGACCATGGCAGTGTGGAGCACAGGTGCCATGAGGGTGGTGGTATGGAGGGACAATGCAAGTTGCTCCTGTGTAAACATTGGGTGGAGATTGTGAGGATTTACCTGTACATAGTCCCTATCCCCCCCTTTTGGGTAGACATCCCAATGTCACGTAAGTGCATTGGGTTTGGCTCCTAGGTGGCCAGGGCAGAAGTGGATGGAAAGGTTGAATTGGGAAAGGTACTCTGACCAGTGGGCCTGTTGACAGGTGAGAACCTTAGAGGTGGAAAAATACTCAAGGTTTTTGTGGTCTGTCACCACATCGACAGGTAAGGCAGAGCCTTCTAGGTAGTGCCACCAATGGCAGAAGGCCTCAAAGATAGCCAACAGCTCCTTGTCATGGGTATCATAGTTGAGTTCTGGCATGGTCATGGTGCAAGAGTAGAAAGCGACTGGGCAGAGTTCACTGTTGGAGCAGGTGACCAACAAAATACCAGCAATGGCATAGTCGGAGGCATCGGTTTCCACTGTAAGTGGAGTGTCAGGGGCCCAATGAGTGAGAATGGGAGTGGAGCTGAAGGCATCCTTCAGGTGGAGGAAAGTGGAGTGGCACTCCTTGGAGAAGTTCCAAGGAGCACCCTTTTGCATGAGGCGAAGTGAGCAGAATGACAATGTTGGAGTAGTTATTAATGAATTGTCTGTAGAAATTGGTGAAACCAAGGAAGGACTGGATGTCTCATACCTTCCACAGCTCAGGCCAGTCCTGGACTGCCTGAACCTTCTCAGCAGACATGGTGAGACTGGAGGGAGAAAGAATGTAGCTGAGGTACTCGACAAAGTTGGAGTGAAACTCACACTTCTCTGGCTTGGCATAGAGACCATGCTTTTGAAGGTGGCAGAGTACCTCTTTTATGTGTTCATGATGTGACTCCATATCCTGTGAATAGATTAGGATGTCATTGAGGTATACCACAACACAGACATCAAGCATGTCTGCAAAGATGCTATTAACAAATTGCTGGAAGGCCACAGGCACGTTAGTCAGACTGAATGGCATCACCCACCACTCATAAGAACCATAACGAGTGTGGAATGCTGTTTTCCATTCATCTCCATCTGTGATGCAGACCAGATGATAGGCATGGTGGAGGTCGATCTTGGTGTAGACTTTAGCACAGCTTGGAGAGTCGAGTAGGTTGGAGATGAGTGGCAGCAGATAGTGATCTTTTTTTGTGATTTTGTTGAGTCCTTGATAGTCTATGCAGAGGCAGAGTGAACCGTCCTTCTTCTTTACAAAGAGGACAGGGGCACCATGAGTGGAGGTGGATTGTTTGATGAAACTGTAGCCAAGATGCTTGTCAATGAAGGTGTGGAGAGCTTCAAGCTCTGGTGGTAGAAAGAGAGTAGATTGTACCAATGGGCAGAGAAGCTCCTTCCTCAAGGTTGATCTTGAGAGTGAATGAGCAGTGTGGTGGAAGTTCCTGTAGCCTTGTCTTTACTGAAGACGTTGGCAAACTCATGATACTCAGGAGGGACCAAAGAGAGGTCAGGAGGCAGAGATATGACCCATTTAGTGTGGTGACTCATTGGGACAGTTTTTTGAGTTTCAACCCAGTCTGCATAGTTTTGAGTTTAACACAGTTTAAAGTGCTGTGAGGTGCTTACTAATACTTATATAATATATCACATGGTCTATTCGATGATTTGTCATCATACAAACAATGCCAAACAATGAATTGGGACCATCAAGGCTCCCTCTTCTACTGCAACTCATGCAACCATCCTCCTGGTCCATCTGGGCTGTTTTCTCAGAGTAATCTCCATAAGTATTAATGTCCACTACAGTAGTGTCATCAGGGTATATGTCCAACACAATCAAACCCTTGAAAAGTCTGCTCTCGGTCATCCCTGTGCTGTTTCCCTCACCCATACCTGACATGTTCTGCAACTAATCAGTGCTGAGACAGCTGGAAATGCCATGGAGGTCAATCTGGCACATCAGGAAATGATGAACAAACAAAACACCTTTTAACCAGTATGTTTTCACCACAGTGCAACCAGTTTCAATGCCAGTGTGAGGCAAAACATTCCTGTGCACTTCAGGTGGCATGGGAAGCATGGATAGACTGTGCTCTCAGCTGACTGTGGATGACTGGGAATGGGTGATTTGGTCATATAAGATCAGAGGTAATACTCAGGGCTAGATGGATTGATGGAATCTCCCTCCTAGTAGTTCAGTAGGCTATCCCCCCCAGGGTGCCTGGACTGTAATGAAGGGTTTTAGCTCACCCTAGCCCTCAACCCAGCACCCCTGAGGTGGAAACTGCACCAAATAAGAGGTAATTGGATTGTTGGTCATGTTTTACAGTGCCAGATTAACCAGCATGGCATTTCCAGTTGTCTCAGCACTGATTAGCTGCAGAACATGTCAGGTATGGGTGAGGGAAACAGCACAGGGATGACTGAGAGCAGACTTTTCAAGGGTTTGATTGTGTTGGACATATACCCTGATGACACTACTGTAGTGGACATTAATACTTATGGAGATTACTCTGAGAAAACAGCCCAGATGGACCAGGAGGACTGGTTGCATGAGTTGCAGTAGAAGAGGGAGCCTTGATGGTCCCAATTCATTGTTTGGCATTGTTTGTATGATGACAAATCATCGAATAGACCATGTGATATATTATATAAGTATTAGTAAGCACCTCACAGCACTTTAAACTGTGTTAAACTCAAAACTATGCAGACTGGTTGAAACTCAAAAAACTGTCCCAATGAGTCACCACACTAAATGGGTCATACCTCTGCTAGTTTTCACCTGGCCATCATCACCTAGGACTTGTTAGAAAGCCCAGACAATGGACTTCATCCCCCACACTAACCACTTGGACTAGTTCTCAGTCATCAACATGCTACACTCCCATCAATCAAGATTGTTCAAACATTGGGACAGTTTTGAGTCACTGTATGCTTAATCCTGTTGGAGATACAAAAAGAATGCCTAATGCAGAGATCATTGGGTGGTCACTGGCTGATTGTTGGCCTGCTCTCTGCCTGATGGCTTCTGAGCACCTTGGAACTGATTTCTAGTTTACTCTGGTAACATCATTTGATGATGCAGATAATCTTATATTTTGATAATCTCAGAATGGATTGCATGATATTGAATTATGCATCCCTATGAAGTGATTTCCAAATTTCATCTTTTACTATTGTTACTAGAACATGGCCAGTGCCACTGGCAGGCACCTTGTTTACCATGCCAGAGCACAGCCATGACCAGTGGGTTTTGCCGTGTGGAGTCAATTTACAGGCAGATGCACAGATGTCGAAAAAAGTGTCTCATTTTCAGGCTGGAGTGACCTTGTAAACAAGGTGACCATCTTTTTAGGAAGATATTGTTGTCAATAATCTTGTGACATTCTCACAATAAATAGTTTTCAATTGTCTTTGGATACACATCTCAATGTTTCTCACAATGTAGACTTTGGGTAACTTTTATATGTTTGCCCAAAATCAAAATTTACACATCTCATAATTTGATTCATAAGAAAATGTGCTGTTTTTCACTTTGGAATACTCTTTACATCAGGAAAGTTACACCTAGTCTGCTTTGTCTGGTACAGTCTGCTGCAGACAATCCAGACAATCCAGACGTCTGACACTAGATAACTGAATGGTGTGCCAAGAGTTCAAATGAATTGTACTAAAGTTTGTCAGACTAAATCAGACAGATCAGACAAGCAGGCTACTTGTAACTTTGCTGATGGCCTAGAGCACGTGATAACAACGAAACCGCCAGTGTGTGACATCATCATGAAGTGTCATGAGAAAGTTCCCCCCTCCCCCTTAAGCCGGCCCGTCACGGGAGAGCATGACAACAGACCAGGACTAGCTTACGCGTCCTGGAACATATGTATTACAAGGATGACATGTGTCTGAGTCTGCCTCGCTCATATAGCCTTACCACTATTCACCTGGTTCAGTGCAGCATCTGCTTTTTGCAAGTCCCTCTCGCTCAAACTCTTTGCTGCCCCTCCTGGTGCAGGCGTACTTACCCCAGAATGCATAGAGCTCCCACGGGAGCGCATCTTCAGGACGAGGGGGCTGCTCGGCCTTTGAGTGGCGAGATAAACATTTTGATAGCTGGCCTGACTTACAAGGGGTATCCTTCATCCTCGTCTTCGGCCGACTTCGGGAAACCAAATCCACGATAGTCGCTTGTATTCAGACGTTGCATCTAGTAAGAATCACGTGTGAATGAATGCAACTCCACAGATAACATGCCATAGCGTACCTCTTCCGTCAAGGTCCCCATGTCCCCAGGAGTGGCTAATCCAGTGATGCGCAGACGCGGGCTTGCGGGAACTGACGTCGGGTGGTACCGCTCGGGCCCAGCACTGAAGTAGTCCTCTTCCTCCTCTGATTCCCCGTTGGAGTTCACGAAAGCGTCTGGGTATGCCCGCCTTAATGCCAGCTGCCGTGCTTTCGAATACTCCACACCCAAGTTCTTCCAATCAAGCAGGGGACTAAGCCGCTCAACCCGGTTTCGCTGGTTGATGCGCTGTCTCCGCGTCTTGCTGCAGAAGGCGAATAGGTAGTTCGCAAGCTGGCTGACAGATTCCTCCACGGACAGCAAACGGCGATCAACAATGTAACAACCTTCGTCCTCGGGACTCTCAATCATGTCTTGCATGAAACATCCAAACCCAGACAGGTTGGTAGTAATCGACGGCACTCCCATCTAGCCAGCATAACGGTCACCTGATCCGCAGCTCACGCGGAAGAGTCACTTACCACCGTGCATTCGGCGGGAGTGTATCCCCAAGGCTCGTAGTAGCTCGGGAATACACCCAAATGACAGCCCCTGACGAACTCTTCGTAATCAAGGCCCAAGATCGGATGGTTGGCGTTTAAAAAGTCGGGGTGGAAAACAATCTTGACACGATCTTCGGGTGTGTTGAAGAGCTTCACTTGACGAATCTGGTTAAGAATCGGATCGTTACCATCATCTATCATGTTGTGGGTAACGACCGGGGGAAGCGAGCTGCGCTTGAGAGCGAATATCCGCCGTTTCATAAGAACCTGGTCTTCCGTAGAGATTAGGTCGGAGGGTGCCAGTTCGAACTTCCCTTCCCTGCGGTCACGACAAGTCAATGTCCCCCTCGCTCCATTGCGCCAGTTCAACACATACCCATTGAATCTTGCGGCGTGATCAAACAAGCGTACCCCGATGCGCTTTTGGATCTCAGAAACGGTGTCTTGGAGCTGCTTCATCACAGCCTGTCCTTTAAGAGCCTCAATGGTATACGAGTTCGTGGCGGCGGGCATAATGATAAAGGCAACCACCGTCATCTTTGAACCGGATTTCTTCAGAAGATAATTGAGACCTGCATCGACGTTAAAGAGAGTAACGTAGTGGATATCAGGACCACTGACGGGCTAACGATTCGATGAACATGTCAACACCCTTGTTGCGGTATTCGTAGCGACCAGCAATGAACATCTATGCACGCATCAATATATCCGAGCCACAGGTAACGAGTGGTGACACACATAAATTGTATTGTTGAGGTCAAAGTCGTAGTGGCCATAGAAGTGGCCACGGACGAACTCGTGTATCTTTGCCTTGGCGGTGGCGTGCAGGTTCTGAAATTCATGCATCGCTTGGAATTTGACGACGTTGAGGCCGTTGGGCAAGATACCGTCCGGTTTGCGTTTGAGGAGATACTCTGCCTCGTAAGCTGTGATATGAGACACGGTGGTGAATACATCTGTGCAGTGTGCGGATGCACGTTCGATGCAGTATCGGTGGTATATGCCACGTTTTCCGGCTTCATGGTCGACATCAAAGTACTGGAGATTGTTGTAGAAGTCGACATTGCCAGCACAGAGATAGCGACCTAGGAGGGTCGCGTGTGTTGTAAAGACGGTGGTGACGTCGATCTGCCGTTTCCTGCAGATCGGGATTGCGACACCAGCCTGCCACTCATGGAAGTGAGCGACGACTGCAGTGTCGACTTGCCGTGAGACGTACTGCAATCAGGAGAGCGTCAGGTGAACATGCTTTCTTAGAAAGCTCGAAATCGTTCTACCTCGCCCAGGAAACAAGCCACAAGATAGCCGAACAGAATGGCGTCATTGGTCTCGGTGTCGTTAGGAGGGGAGGGTATGCCTGCGATGTTCCAAAGGTCGCCTTTCCACTCGTCCAGACGATGGAAGGCACTCCCCGTATCAAAGAGAAGGGCGCGAGGAGCGCCTTCGATGAGCCAGCGACCGTAGAGGGACTTCACACCTTGGGCGCGCATTTGCTCGAGAGAGGCGGCAAGGGCAGGGTCTTCGGGTTCAAGCGCTTCCACCTCCAAGGGGGCAGTCTTGTAGATAAGGGGGCCGATGAGGGTATATCTGTCGCCATACTCTGCAACGGTGACGGGCACTTTTGTCTTGATGACGGTGTAGATACCGCCGACCTTGTTTGCGACCTCCCAGGCGCACTCAAAGAGGAGGTGATTCTGGACGTCTCGTTTGGCTGGCATCAGTTCAGCCATGTTCGTCGTGGATGAAGATCAAACGAATCCTCTATGGAGCTGGATTGGAGCTGGACACATTTTTCGACCTTGACATCATATCAAAAGAACAGTCCACGTGAACTATCAATTTAACACACAGGTCCCATATCAAGCAAGGCAGGTCACATCTAGAAAAATGTACATATGTAGGGAAGGAACACCTTCAAACCGATGGCATTGGTCGTGCTAGGCAAGCAACGCAACTACCACCGCCGTCGCCACGGAAGAAATTAGGTTCACCTATATGTACACTACTGTCAGACCACGGTTTATTAAGTAGATGTCACTGGGCGGACCTGATTGTTGGTCAGCAGGTTTAACCCGCCGATCACCTTGATCGACTCCTTGTCACGGGGGACAGACGCATCCTGCAAAACCCGCTTACTGTCCACAGAGTACCGTGTGCGCTGGATGGTTGCTCCGAGGAACGAGTCCAGCTAAGATGGGTCAAGTCGTGCTGCTCCGATTCCGGTATCAATCGTGGGACGTACCATTGACCCGAGGACTCCCGCAGCGGTGCCCCAGAGTACCAGCGAGGGCAGTATACCCATCCAGTCGGCCTCGACAGACGCGATTTTCTACGACCAGGCTCGCGAAGAGCGTCAGTCCCACCACGCACCCGCCCACCACCGATGCGAGGGTGCCCCCGACGGAAATGGCACCGTTGGTTCCCGGAGGTACAGGTTTCAGCGTCGTAATCAGGATCGGCCGAGAGGTTGAGAGTATACCCAGCTCCGAAGCTAGCGTATCTCCTAGACAACAGGCAAATTGACTGTGAGGCACAAACGTGCATTGGCAAACGTCGATATGATTCAACCGTCAATGGGACTTACCCCAGGACGATAAAGAGGAGCGCCCGACTGAGACCGTTAGGATATACTTGCAGACAAGGGGCACCAGCTTTCAGTGTCATACAAGTGGACCTTCAACGGGACAGAACAGGACGGCAGCAAGGACCATGGCAGCACGTTTGGTGTAAACGTCACACTCCATATGATTGAAGCGATGAATGCAGCTATCGAGTTACATAGTACCTGCCAGCCGGTACGGTAACCAGCGTCCTGAAAGCCTTCTTCCAGCTGCGCCTTGCGTTTCTTCCCGTCTATAGTCCGTCGGCACGGAGCAGTACCGAACACGCATCAACGACTCACATTTTGTAGCTCGCGAGGCGAGCAGGTAGAATGTGATGAGGGTTACACCTATGGCACGGACAGGTGCCGCCATGACCAGAAAGCCTACGACGAAGGCCGTGGCGGCACCCGACGGCGATAGTTTGCGGGAACGGGCTCCATTCACAGCAAGCGCAGTGGCCAACACGAAGGGTACCACAGGAAATGTCGTCATTCCAGTAGAGAGGTTACTCAAGACGGACGCGTGGTACAAACGGCAGCTCAACGTCAACCCTTACTATCGAGCCGAGTTGGAGCAACCCAACCGCTTCGATACCACCGATCGGGTGGGAGCTGGCATCTAGCAGTCATCATGTAAGGAATCAATTATTGCTATAGCTCTTGGGGTATCTCGATTCCCAATAATGTCTGTACCAAGATTTTCACATGAAACCACTGATTAGTTTCTTCCACTGCAACTCCGGGGTGCAATTTTGCCCAAGCAAGTCTCTCATATCCACATCCTTCAGAAGCCTAAACGCTCGCTTGCAGTGATTGCCGTGCATTAAAATGTCGGAAGTGGTTCTCCGTGATCATACAACGCACGCCATTCCCTGTTGTCCATAGCGCTTCAAAAGATCTTCGTCTGTCATCCACAGAACTGCCCCCTCGAAGTCGACGAGACCGGCAACGATATCGATCAGTCGGGCACAATGTTATCCCTCTACTAAGATGTGCCGGAAACAGGCATACCATGATATTTGACAAGCGGAAATCGTCGAGACGTATCGAAAATGGTTTCGTCCGCTGTAATCATCAACCCACCAGGCTGATTACGCCTCAGGGTGTCCGAAAGCCAAATCAGTATATTCACAAGTAACCGTCTGAACCTCCGATTTCAAACTGGCCATGACCCAAGGTAACAGACCTGTGCCATCCGCGCAGACAGGAAGGCCCCAATATGCGATGGAATGCGATGCACCCGGCTGATAGATTGTGTTAGAAATGTTATTTTTAGTGGATTGCAACCCTCGAAATACAGGCAAAACCAATGCTTTGGCCAGTTTCACTTGCCTGGGAGAGGTATGTCGAACTCTCCATTGAGGTTGTCATAGGTCAGACATGACTGTCAAGTAGAATATAATGCTTTTTTGAGCGTCACAGATCGATGTTTGGACTGCCCTCGCGAGGTGAACGAGAAGCACCCTGTCCAAACGAAAGTCAGGCTATTGGAGCCACCATGACGTTCAAACGGCATCACTATCCACACCAAACTACAAAACGTCACTCCTTGAGGATCTTTAGCGTTTTCTCACCCGCCAGATCCCATTTTCCAAACAGCAAACTAGAGGGTCGAAATCAACGATGGGAACATGACGAGATGTGGGCTACGTACTCGAAAGCAGCCATGATGGTCCACTTGCGGTTGTCGGACTCGGGGAATACGAGTGACCGGGGACCATAGAATACCTGAAAGGATGATAAACGAAGACGTCCGTGAAAGTGCGGATGGCAACAGACCTGGTCGTCGACCTCTTCTTGTTTCCTTGGGAGACAGTGCAAGAATTTCCAGTCTGGGTTTGCATCGCGGCAGAGTGCCTCTGTGACTTGGTATTCCCGCAAAGTCTTGTAAACGCTGGGCCTTCTCGGCCTCTTGACCCATGGAAATCCTGGGTGTAATTGAGAGGATATGATAATTGCGACCAAAACGCGTTCTTACCAGGTGTCGGTCACGACGACGTCAGCGCCTTTGACTGCCTCTTTGGGATCGGAGCCCCACCAAATGTCCTTGTCGCAGCCAAGTTGGGTGACGCGGTCCCATACGGGCTGGGGACACTGGTAGGCTGGTTTTTCGGGTGATGCGACGCGCATTTTGTGACCGAGGCGCGGGTAGGTGACGAGCATGTCGTGGAGTACGTTGGTCGAGTCGCCTACGTAAGCAATGGTGAGAGGGCGCAGTTGTGGGAGAGGCTTGTTGGCGGGGGGTGGTATTTTGAGGGCAGTGTCGAACAGGTGTGCGTGTTCGTGGAGGGTGAGGACATCGGCAAGGGTCTGCGTGGGATGCCAGAGAGAAGAGAGGGCGTTGAGGACGGGGACCGGGGAGTAGCGCGCCAGTTCTTCGATTTCCTCGTGTGCGCCTACGCGGGCAAATATGCCCTGGCACATACCGCCAATGACGCGTGCAGTGTCGCGGGGTGTCTCGTTGACACCGAGCTGGATGTCTTCGCGGCCCAGAAAGAGTGCGCGACCGCCCAGGAGGACTGCGGCAGTCTCGGCGGACACGCGTGTTCTGGTGCTGCGTTTTGCGAAGAGGAGCGCGATGGACTTGTTAAAGAGGGACTGGGAGGGCATCCGCAGCCGGGCACTCTTCTTGGACTGGGGTGCGAGCCATGGCACGGAGACCTGCTTCAGATAGTGTGCGTGGTTGACAATCCGCAGGAATCTGGGGTGCTGTGAGGTCAGCCAGACTCATCAAATGGGGCACTGCACTCATCGTCGTCTTCGTCGTCCTCGCCGTCCTCAGTGACTGGCCGAGTTTTTTGTGTGTGTATGTGCACCCCCCTCGGAGGGGTGGTGTGATGACATAATAATCTAGTACTTTTAATAATATACTAGTCTTATATTAATAGAGTCCCGTGCAAATGTCGTCGTCGTCGTCGTCGTCGCCGCCGCTGACCCCGTCGCGATCAGCGACACCCGCGACGATGCCCGTCCAGCCAGACCACTTCTTTGGCCCCGAGGGCACACAGCTTCCGCCGTCGCCCAACTCTCTCGGAAGGGCCTGGCTCGACCCCGCAGACGATCCTCTCGCACACCGTGGCATCCCCGTCTTCAGGCCCACAATGGACGAGTTTGCCGACTTCGAGCTGTTCATGTCAAAAGTAGAGTGCTGGGGTCTACGCTAGCGGTATCATCAAGGTCATTCCTCCTAAGGAGTGGTATGTGTTACTTCCATCTCTGCCCTCCCGTACACATCTCATCAAATCATTCAGGGTCGACGCCCTACCACCCATCAAAGACCAGCTCCTCAACGTCAAGATAAGATCCCCCATCGAACAACACATGCTCGGAAGAGGCGGTCTCTTCAGACAGGAGAACGTCGAGAAGCGCAAGGTCATGAGCGTGCGTGAATGGGCAGAGTTGTGCGACAAGGACGAATTTCGCGCCCCTGGCATAGACGATGTCGGCATCCATGCTAGAGGTACCAGAGCGGACTCGAGACCTGTCCGTGCCCGTCGAACAAGAGCAGACGCAGACAGTCGCAAAGTAGAATCCGTCGAACCAGACGAACCGAGCACACCCCTAACAAAGCAACTCCCAGATATACTTCCTCATCCAGAACCAATGTCACCCCCTCAGAGCGTCGGAAATCCTCTGACTCCAAACGCAATCGATCCGGCCTTGGATCTCTCCGGCCAAGATGTCGACATGGAGGAGGACCCTGTTACGGCACTCACTCCACCAGACGGTCCGTCGGACTCGCAGGGAAAGCCAAAGTCAAAGGGAAAGCGCGTGACCCAGACTCGTGCTGCACGAGAAGCATCTCTCGCCGAACGTGCGGCCAAAGATAAAGCCTTTATTGACGTTTTCGACCCCAGCAAAGACTGGCTGCCTCCTAACACCAAAAACGATGATTATACTCCCGAGTTTTGCCAGAAACTCGAACGGCAGTACTGGAGGAACTGTGGTTTAGGAAAACCCGCGTGGTACGGGGCCGACATGCAAGGTACGCATACATCGACGCTGTTCCGATCGCGTCACACTCAGTCCTTTCTTTCCAGGTTCCCTGTATACCGATGAAACAAAGATTTGGAACGTCGCCCATCTCCCGTCACTCCTATCTCGCCTTCTACCAGCTTCCTCGAAAGGTCTTCCAGGTGTCAACACGCCATACCTCTATTTTGGAATGTGGAGGGCAACATTTGCATGGCACGTCGAGGACATGGATCTTTTCAGCATCAACTACATTCATTTTGGCGCTCCCAAGTTTTGGTATGCTGTCCCTCAGGGGCGGGCTGCTGCCCTAGAGTCGACGATGAAGGGTGCGTCTCTTCTTTTCCGAAAATACAATGCCTTTCAGACGCTCTCCTAGGGTACTTTCCACAAGACACGTCACACTTGCCCACAATTCTTGCGACACAAGTCGTTCCTGGCATCACCTACTCTGCTGGCGCAATCGTCCTGCCGCCCCAACTTCCTCGTACAGCGTGAACATGAGTTCGTGATCACCTACCCCCGTGGCTATCCATGCCGGTTTCAATCTTGGGTTCAACTGTGCTGAAAGCGTCAATTTTGCATTGGACAGCTGGCTGGAGCTCGGGCGGAAGGCGCAAGTGTGTCGCTGCGTTAGCGATAGGCATGGAACCTATTCTTCCTCTCCACTTCCCCGATGTTTACCTGCATTTTCAGCGTTCGTATTGATGTGGACCAACTATTGAGAGATCGGGAAGCGGACCGCCTTAATCCTCCACCCCCAACTGAGCCTAGAAAACGCAAGTATGCAGGTAGCGACAGCGATCCTAAAGGAAAGCGTCCAAAATCGGCGAAGTCAATCACACCGACTAGCGGACAAACGCCTGGCTCTTCAGCATGTGCGAATATGCCTAAAGTCACTGTCACTCTTAAGCTGCCCCCAAAACCTTTGGAGCCAGACGGCTTCCCATGTTGTCTTTGCGTTTCGAAATCGAGAGATGGTCTATTACGTGTCCAGCATCCACCCATCGGTAGGAGAGATTTGCCCGAATCTTTGGCGACCGTTTTCAACCTTGAGTCGTGGATGGCCCATGAAGAGTGTGCGAAAGTCATACCCGAGACGTGGGTGGATGAGGTGGATGTCGGGGACCCGGACAACAATGGAGGCATGAGCAAGGAACGAAGGGTGTTTGGCGTGGATGCCATTGTAAAAGACAGGTGGAACCTCGTAAGTATCCCTTCGACATGCCAAAGACGACATCTTTTATCTGTCGTTGCCCATTAGAAATGCGTAGCGTGCACGAAAGGGAGATCAAAGGCACATGGGGCTCCCATTCAATGCACCAAGGGCAAATGTACCAAGTCGTTCCATGTCTCATGCGCACGAGAAGGCGCTTCCGGCGTCGCATATTCGGTCGTGCGGGAGCTGGAGAAGGAGGTGTTGCTCGTGGGGTATCATTCACCTCTTGGCGAGCTGCTCGAACCCGGGTTGCCTTTGGACGCTAGCCAACCGGTCCCCACTCCTGCCGATCCTCAAGTCCTGAAGGTTATTAGGAAGAACGAAGTGCAGGTTCTGTGTTCCCAACATAACCCGGTTCGTGGTAACGCACATGTGGGGCAACATGCTTATGACGATGGTGCAGGCAGTAGCAGCAGCCAAGAAGGCGAACAAGCAAGCCAAGATTCGTAACGAGTTGATGTCGTTACCGCCGATGTCCCGAATCAAGATCCGCGTTAGCTCTGGTGTCTTCGAGGTTTCGCTGGTGCGTATCATCGAAGAAAACAAATCGATTGAAGTCCTCTGGGACAGGGGGGTCAAGCGAGAGTTCAAGTGGGGCAACGTCCTCTTTGGCTCAAGTGATGGTCAGGCAGTGGTACAAAAACCAGCTGAACCTGCACCACCACAGCCGCCGCCACCACCACAATGTGAGCACCTTGAACGGTGTTTTGCTTTGTAGTATCGTCTAACCAACGGCCTAGCGACACTTCCTCCCGTTCCTAATGCGCAGGCATTTTCCACGTATCCTGGATTGATGGGCAGCCCTTCAACTGCTCCACCTATGACAGCTCCACCGATACATTTGCCAACTCACCCTGTAATAGCGAATACTAGTGGCACCGGAGCGTGGCCATATTCTATTTACCAAACTCCCCAGACCCAGGCGTATCCTTCGTTACCGTACACCTACCCGGCTTATTATGCCGCGCCTCAAGGACATTGTCCTCCAGCCAATAGCAGTAACACTGCGCAGGGCACGTATAGATTTCAGTTGAAATGGCAACAGCCATACATTGGTCCAAAGACTAATGCAGATTCTACAGCACCGTCGACGTCTGCCCCACCGCCGATGTCTTCGCAGGACGTGGCCACCGCAGCGGTTCCAACTACTCACATTACATCATGAAGTAACTGCCCTGTTTGTTTAATTAATATTGAAGAGGAAACCCCGGGACCATGTATTGTATGTGAACAGTAATCTTATTGCGTCGTCCTATCAACAGTACACATTTGAGGAATGCAACAAGCGTCTGGAACGTGTAGGTTTATTTACATCGTTGGCCAACAATAGCTTTTCCATGCTCCTGCAAGCAAAGAGATAGATGAGGCATCGATCCAGAAGCGGCAGCGGACGAACCTGCCACTCTTCACGGCTGATCCACAGTTGATGGAAAGTACCCAGGCTTGCAAGAATGCTACCTCCGAGCCACGCACCATACTTCCGCTCGATTGGGTTCCCTGGTGCATGAATTTTGACCTGTCGAGTGATGTCAACCAGAGCCTCAGTTTTGGAATCGGTACACCAACTGACGTGTGCAAAATTCCGAGACAACTCGTTCTCCAGTCTGTCAGCGAAACCAGTGAAGAGACTCCCTCCACCTGTCAGAACGACGTTGCCCATCAACACTTGGCGCAAATCCGGATCACAGGCACGGAGAGACTCTGATAGCAACGTCGGGATATTTTTGGGCAAGTTAGGATTTTGAGCCTAGCTATCCGGTAGGCGAGATCAGCCCGCGGCAGAAAATATGTGGTACATACGACAAGTTGTGGTGAATGGTAGAAGAACTCCTCGCCGACTTGGAAGCGCTCAGGGCCAAAGTAAGTATTAAATCCTGTCGGAAATTCGTACTGGCGAGGCGGCCGTGCAGCAGCAGCCCTGAACGGATATCGGGAATCGGCCGAAAGGGATAATGGTTATTGCACTTACTGTTCATTCCACCCTTGATCGAGAACGCCCGCCACGGTATGGATCCATTCGTCCACCTCCCGAGTTTCATACCATGTTGTCCAGCTTTCTGTCGTCCCGGCTGATCGGTCTTCGCGCAACGTGAAGCGGGGTGGCGCGGACGGTTCGACGGGCTAGCAGGACAGCTATACATTAGCGAACAATAATAGGTTGAGCATATTCACAATTTTAGAGGCAATGAGTTGGTGTGGATACAGGTCTATGCTTGGGCGTGTGGGAGTTGGGTTTGTGAGGATGTGCTTTGCGTGTGCGTGCACCAACTTTGGGAGGGCAGAATAAACGAGACCTGCAAATATTGGTTACACGTCCGCCTTTCCCCGCTGGGAGAGTCAGTTACCTTTCCTTAGGACGAAACCATCGACGACGGGAGTTATGCTCGCCATGGAGTGCCCAACATCTATCACCAATGCCGAGCCTTTCCCTGAAGCAAAACTGGAGAGCCATTAAGGTAAAGTAAGGGGATGTGTTGGGCTTACGCGTTCAAGACACCCGTGTTGGCGATGTAGAAAGCGGGAACCTGGAACTCCTCGAACATGATCTCGGCCATTCGCTCTCGATTGGCTGCAGTATTCCAGGCCGGCTCGGTCACGAGGACAGGATGTTCAGACGGGTTGGCGTGCATGATATCCGACAGGGCGTGGGATATTAAGGGAGGGATTGGGTTGAAGTCAAATACTGAAGAGGCGTTGAGCGAAACAGACATGGGTTCATGAGCCAGGAAATGCTGACTGAGACCGTCTCGCCAGGGGTTCCCTATTTCCATGCCCGGCCTCCAGATAGAAGGGCCATGTTGTCCTAGATAGAGCTTCGCGTCTGAGTCACCGGCCGTAGTTTTGTAGCCATAATACGACGACACGACTGCTTTGGGGGTATCATCTCCTGCGTACCCAGCACGGACTGATGACGAGCCAATATCCACCACAAGAGCGGATACTTCGTCTGTGTCGACCAACAGTCAGTTCCAGGATGCACAGTGGATGGACGGACGCTGTCGTCGCACCTCCTCCGTAATTTACCATCGTTCTTGTCCGATCAATATGACCCAAGTCCTCGCAATAAACAGGGTGGATTATGTAAGACACTATCTCTGGAGATAAGATAAGCAAGACAGTTCGAGCGGAGCTTGGAATTCTCTATCCGGCATTGTCGGCGCTGTTAGTGGCTTGAACTTTAATTTTCACTCGAGCTCTCGCTGTCTTCATCTTCAACCCCATCGTCGGCAAAGGTATGCAACGGTACTTTCGTCGATCTCACACGCTCAGAGACTTTTTTCACGGGATAGAAATTAGAAAATGACCCACGACGCCGTCTGGTTTTCTCGTCCTCGAAAGTTCGGCAAGGGTAGCCGCCAATGGTGCGTATCCGGGTCTGTTGATGAACGACGAGAGCTTGAGAATGCCTTCTAGCCGTCTCTGCGCTCACCAAGCTGGTTTGATTCGCAAATACGGGCTTGACCTTTGCCGTCAATGCTTCCGTGAAAAGTCTGCTGCCATCGGCTTCGTCAAGGTATGCCGTACTTTTGGTCTTCGGATACCTGGCGCTCTGACCATGCCGATTTTCATCAGAACCGGTGAGCACATCAGTAGACCACGTAGTTTATGACTGTTGCTGTGTTGTCGTCCACCTTACATATGACTACTTGATATGTCGCCCAATTACCATTTGAATAGTGGCAACCAGCGCCTACTGTGATTGTGATAAGATTTGAGTATACGTGGGAAACGGAAAATTCGGGGCTGATTGGAGTTTAGGATCACTGGCTTGTGTCCCTGCCCGGGAAAAAAAGTTGGATGCAGCAGACCTCGTGCTAAGCAGGGGATCGTCACCCTTCTGCCCTCACTCGGATGGAAATTCTCCCTTTGACTCCCCTTGACATCCCTGTTTCACCCATTGCGCCCCATAGAGAAACCACCCGGAACGATTTTATTCTTTCTGAACATGCATTGCCCTCTGCACCAGACGAATTCGAGGGGGAGGCAATCTTTGATTCCCTGCCTCCCCTCTTCAGAGGACACCCAGAAATTCATCTTCGGAATGGCGTAATGAATGCCTCCCGCAGAGCAGCTGCGAATGTGCTCGACGCTGAAAAGGCTTTTTTTGTGGCGGATCTTACCCAGGTATACCTCCAACATCAGAGGTGGTTGCGTTGCCTCCCGGATATCGAACCTCACTACGGTGCGCTGTCCGACTTTTTTTGTCATTCATCGCTCATCATTCTTCGGCCTTAAGCCGTAAAATGTAACCCGGACCCCTACGTCCTAAGGCTCCTGGCCTCTTTCGGTGCCGGATTCGATTGTGCTTCCAATGGAGAGATGTCCCAAGTCCTCCGTATTGGGGGCGTCGACCCCGACAGAATCATTTTTGCCAATCCCTGCAAGGCTACCTCTTTCATTCGTGGTGCCGCAACAGCAGGGGTCGATAAAATGACCTTCGATAACCCCGATGAACTTTACAAGATTGCGCGCACACATCCCACAGCCAAACTCATCATCCGCATTCTCGCGGATGACTCCAAGAGCATCTGTCGCTTCGGCATTAAATTTGGCGCTTCATTAGATGTTGTTTTTGACCTCTTGCTCAAGGCAAGGGAGCTCCACCTCGACGTCATTGGAGTTAGCTTCCATGTAGGGAGCGGTTGCTATGATCCCACCATATACGAGGATGCTATCAGCCGGGCTCGCCAAGCGTTCGACATGGGTGGGCGTGCGGGGTACCGCTTTTCCGTTCTCGACATCGGCGGTGGCTTTGAAGACGCACGATTTGAGGCTGCTGCTGCCGTTATCAATCACGCAATCGACAAGTACTTCCCTGATCGGAGTGGAATCAGGCTCATCGCGGAACCTGGTCGGTTCTATGTCTCTAGAGCCTTTTCCCTTGCTGCGAACATCATCGCACGCAGGGCACCAATCTCGCGCGACAGTGAGAGGGGGGTTGATCTCGTCACAGGAAATGAGGAAGAATCCGCGCTGATGTGTACGTTCCTATTCTGGTACTCGATAGCGCATCGTTGACCTTTGTTAACTGGTCGCAGATTACATCAACGAGGGCGTCTATGGTGCGTTTAACTGCATCATGTTTGACCACCAGACGGTCGAGCCCTACGTTCTGTCAATGAACGGTTCGTTCCATGTGTCTGCTTCGGAACCAGTGTCGGCCAGCAGCGTTTGGGGACCGACGTGCGATTCCATCGATTGCGTATGCAAGCGTGTTGAATTACCCCGTGCGCTGCAGGTCGGCGACTGGCTAGGATTCAATAACATGGGTGCATATACAATTTGTGCTGCGAGCCGATTCAACGGGTTTCAGCTCAGCGACGTTATCTACACTACTAGCAAGGGAGGGGAAGAGGCAAGGAGTGCTTTGCGTAGCTTTGCGGCGGAAGACCACGGCCATAGTCTTTAGACAGTCCTACAGTAGAGTTCGAGACGAGCACTAACAAAGTCTGTTTACGGTTACTAATCAATCAGACAAACCGCAAGCTTTTCATTTTTGATCTCGAGTCATCTACATATCATCGCCGTCTTCGTTCAAGATGGCCTCTGCAGACGACGTGGAAAGGAAGTACAACCTAATCACTTCCAGATTACAAGAGGTGCTCGGAGCTGAACATATCAAATCAATACTTGCGGAGGGGCGAACCCCAAAATGTTACTGGGGCACCGCTCCCACTGGTCGTCGTGCGCTCCACCATGCTCTGAAAGCGATGACCAGATATCTGACGCCGATCCAGCCCACATCGGTTACTTTGTACCATTGATCAAGATTGCAGATTTCCTTAGAGCAGGCGTCGAAGTCAAAATATTGCTTGCAGGTAAGCACAGTTCCCGCTCTCAGTCCCCAAATGTTGCTCAGTTGGTCACCTCGAAGATGTACATGCGTTCCTTGATAACCTGAAGGCCCCATTGGATCTTGTAGCCCACCGAACGAAATACTACGAATGTATCCTTCGCACCAGTGTTCACCTCACTCGGAATACCCACCTCCAAGCTTACCTTTGTCAAAGGATCAGAATATCAGCTGAGCAAAGATTACAATCTAGACGTCTACAAGTTGTCGACGCTCGTCACGGAACACGATGCAAAGAAGGCTGGCGCCGAAGTTGTGAAGCAGGTAGAAAGTCCTCTTCTGAGCGGTCTTTTATATCCCGGTTTGCAAGCTCTCGATGAACAATACCTTGACGTAGATTTCCAGTTTGGGGGGGTCGACCAAGTGCGTCCTCCCTCAAGCAGACATGTACAATGCGATGTGCTCACACACGTTGGTAGCGGAAAATTTTTACTTTTGCAGAGCTCTACTTGCCGCGACTTGGCTACTCCAAACGTGCTCACCTTATGAACCCTATGGTACCAGGCCTCATGGGTGGAAAGATGTCTTCCTCAGATCCGGATTCCAAGATCGACTTCCTCGACCCGCCCGAAGTGGTGAAACGCAAGATCAGGAAATCGTTTTGTGAGGAAGGAAATGTCTCCGAAAATGGTCTTCTCGCCTTCCTTGAAGCCGTGCTGATACCTGTCAGTCAACTGCGCCTAGAGAGACTGCGAGGTGAAGGTGGATTTGATGTCCAGGAGGGTGTTGGATTGCACAAGCCGTTCGTAGCAGACGATGCCCCCGAAGGGACTGTGTTCACGATCACGCGGGAGAAAGGTGGTGGTCCAAGTCATTACAAGACCTATGAAGAGTTGAAAGACGACTTTGCGGCAAAGAAAATACATCCTGGGGACCTGAAGGCTTCAGTCCGTGATGCTATCATAAGTTTGTTGGGGCCGATCCAGGCAACTTTTTTGGAGAATGAGGAATGCAAACAGGCCGAGCAGCTTGCGTACCCTGATCCCAATGCAAAACCTGAGACGAAAAAGAAAAAGAAGGCAAGCAACTCGTCAACTTTTGTTGGCAGTATATGTTCTGACAACAATCCTTCAGGAGAAAGTTTATCATCCCCCACCGCCAGGAAAGGGCAAGAATGTCCAGCTTCCTTCACAAACATCAGGAAATTTGTGTGTTGCTTTTTTAAATTTCTTTGGATACTTTTCTCACTAAAAGGTGGCTGCTTTTGAAAGAGAACCATAGTGTATCTGGACTCTTCAGAAGGATCCATCTGCCAGCCAGACCCCAAGGTAGTTGTGTGACTGCTAGTTGTAATTATTCATGCTGGAATAGAGATCATGTAGGGATAATCACCACGAGTCCAAGCAGGACTACAAAAAGGTTTAACTGGTGAAGACAGCGAGTTTCGCAATGTCTGACACAATATCATGTAATGATGTGTTTTAGAACTCACACTCATCAGACGTGGACACCAGCGTAGTGTCGTTGGAAAAACAAGGGTAAAGTGCAGATATCTTGAGCCTTCGCCCTTCGCCTTTGTTCTGTTCAATATCATTATGGTGGCCAGCTGTGATCGGATCAGCAAGATAATATCATTCTTGCCAGGCAATCTTGGTACCCGATGGACGTAAGACAGGGGACGAGTAGAAATCAGATCTTGCGACAAACGGAAAGATGGCCTGCCGCGTGGTATTAATGACACAGTGGCGACGACAGTTGATCCTCAAGAATCGTTGTTGCTCCAAGTGCCCTGCAAGATTGGCGTACTTGAAGATGGAGTCCCATCGTGAAAGTAGCCTTCTGTGTCAAAACGGTAACCGTCACGATAGGATCCAGCGACCTGGATGTTTTGGCTCTTTGCAAAGCATTTCCACATGGACACCATGCAGAACTTTGCTCGATTCCACCTTTTCTTCGGCCCCTACAAAGGCATCGATGGATTGCAGTCTCCTGCAGGTTACTGGCGAAGTCTCGAAAGCGAGGCATTTCGTCATCTTGACCCTGACCTGTGGCTGGGGCCACCTATTCGAGAAAGTAATGCGTTCGTACGGTGGTTTACAACACGACAACCATTGCGAACTCATCAGCTGCGTCGTTTTCAGTGGCTCTTTGGCACCGACTTATCAAAGTCGTCGAACAAACTGGCCTGGGTGAGGGCCCAAACACTGCATTAACTCGTTCTGGGCTTCGCGAAGTGGTTTACCTTCGCGGTACTGTCAGTCATGTGCCACTTGCAGTATAACACTTAACTTCAGAAAGCAGGTAATTCGTAATAGATTGAAAGGTCACCAGCCTATCGTTTCATTTGTCGCTGGTGGATTTGCCGATAGAGCTGCTGGACACAGGAAAAGCACATATGTAGTAAGAACGCAACAACCACAGCTCAGTGCGCAGGCCTAAACTTACTCTGACGTGCAACATGTGTTGCCCAGGGAAATACTCCGAGCCGTAGCTAGGATGAATGGTGGTTTCGTGTGGGTATCAGAGTACGTTACAAAAAAAGTTCGAACGAAACGACACAAACCAGCTGCCGTCGTAAGGAGCGTTGTCGTGGTGCCAGTTATGTAGCAGATACCAGGCTCGCCTTATGGGCAATCTGCAAAAGAGCAGAAAAACGAGCCTAGAAGAATGTTAGACTACAGCAAAAAGGATTTGAGGGCACGATTTCAGGCATATCCGAGACAGCTAAATGCATCATCGACAAGGTTGGAGAACACTCATGCGGGCGCACATCCAGCAGCCTCTCTGCGGGAACCTTGGCGGAAGACGGTCTACGCACGCAGATCTAAGAGGACGGGGACATCGTGCAATATGGGAGATCTGTAACACGATTCTGATGAATTTCCGCGACACACGCAAATAGAAAACCACGAGCCAAAGGCATGTGGATCGCATCGGCTGAGGAGGACCACATTCGAAGACACCAAACCAGGGAACAAAAGAGAACCTCACGGAGAGAGTTTCTGCATGGACTTCACTGGCGAACCAAGCTAGGCAGACAACGGGGAATAAATAGAGAGCTCGGTTTTGGATGCAAGCGTGTACTGCGAGCCATGTGGTGCAGTGCAGCTGAGACACGGTGTGGTCCACAAGCCACGTGAGCGGAACCACGCTCCGTGACCTGAGGGGGGCATAACATAACACCCTGTTCAGGCCATCCACCATTCCCTTCTCCAATTCCTCATCGTTTCCCGTGCCCAGCTCAATCCCTCCTCTAAACTACACCTCTCGCACTTCAGACGCTGCTTGTGCGGTATCGGAACGCTGGCTTCGTGCGATAGAGTGTGCGTAGCCGGTGAGATTTATGGGGTGACGTTTACACCTGGGACCGAGGGAATTCCCTCTCAGTTGAAGTGACCAGAGTCGCATACAGCCTGCGATCTGTTGTTTTTTTTGCATTCATATTCCCATGGCTGCTCTCCATGGATTCATACCCTCTCTTACTGTAGCTTTGTTTCTGCTTCCTTCCGATTGCCCTGTGATGGAATCGGGCGCTCCGACTGCAGGTATGTGCCGCCCTCTAACCATGATTCAGAGCTGACCAGCCTTCCATTCTCCGTTTCATTGTTAGTTCTTATCGTTGCAGCCGCCCGTTGATGCATTTTGGTCGAGCGCATTTATGCCACCTGCAGGCTACCTTACACAGCCTTATGGGAAGTAAGGCCCTGCTACCTGTACGTACGTTAGCCCAAAGTATGCTTCCAGCAATGTTAACGTCATCAGTTTTAATAGTCACATTGAATGCCCTCTCTAGAGTAGCCTCGCGTGCATGGCAGAGATGCCTGCTTGTTACCAATTGCTGGCGCGGGTTGAAGCGTATCTCGTATCGACTCACTCCGCGGATGGCCACTGGGTAAGTTTCCGTTGTATGTGGAAGTTCCGCACCTGACTGAGCATGTATGCAGGGTATACTTACCACAAACCACAATGTAAGTTTGGTCAAGATCATTGTTAACCGCGATGTCCTCATGATTGTATGCTCTCATGTATTATCAATGATAGGCAACATCCTCGGCGATGCTGTCTGCGTTCCGTAGTACTATGCACTTTTTTTGTACCCGTATGCTAGCGTAGATACTGTGAACCGAAGGACAGAGGAACGAGGTAAGTGACACGTGACTTCCCAAAAGGGGGAAGTTGGAGATTTTCTCAAGAAATCACGCGTTTATTGTCCCGGGCCGAGACTTTTTCGGCCAGTTTTCCGACCCCAGCGCCGCCGCTGCCACCGCCAACGACGCCAAAGCCCCAGCACCCTATTTTCCCCTAGTCTCTTGCAAAACGCTTTTTTTCTTTGCACGCACTCCATGATATGCCCCGTAACCACAGCCTGGGGACCTCTACCCTCCGTAACCGCAATCGAGTCACAAACAAAACTCGCCTCAAGGTCATCCAAGGAAACATCGATGCGGACCCTCTTGTACTCGATGAAGACGAGGAAAAGGCCAGAATTGTTAGCACGGCCGGCGTGGACGCTGAGGACGCAAACGTGAGTCGTCTTTCCCGTCGTCGACAGTTGTCGCGCCCTTGTTGAACTAGGCTGACGTGGCCTGTTCTGATTGGCTCATTCCGTGGGAAATCGATTATCGATGGCTGACTCATCACGGCGCTCTGCCCCCCACAGGAGCACCACTTGCAGGCTGTTCTTTCGGCGGCGTCACATCGGCACCAGTCCGTCGGACGGACAACCCGGGGCGTCATCGATAAGCCTCCCGCGTACATTCCAACACCCGACTCCACCGGTGTCATCGACAACTATGAGGAGTTCTATCCTCCTAATTGCTGGAAGCAACCAGAGCCATATGTACGTTTCTCTGAAACCGTCGACGAATCCTGTACGAATGCCGTCATCGATGGTTTCACGTATTTCATGGACGAGCGTGACAAGGAGTGGCTCGATAGGAACAACGGAGAGGCTCGTGGTGAAGGCACCAGTGCTCAAGGTGCCCTCCCAGTTTCAGGCACGACAACGCGCTCAGGCCTATCGCAGCGCAGTGCGAAGGCGAAAGGCAAGGAGCCAGACTGTAATCAACCAGTCACTATTACTGAGGACGAGTTCGAGCTTGTGATGGGTTTATTTGAGAAGGTTACGCATGACAAGACACCATTCCTGCATACGGTGAGTAGCTTGTTTTTTTTTTTCCCCCTCGATTCTTGCGATATGAGATGACAATTCACATTCACAAGGGTTTGGACTCTGGAATGTCCTTTCCGCCATTCTCGGACTACCAAGATGTTTTCTCCTCCCCGTTGCTACCGTCTATGTTCGCCGCGTTCGCAGTTCCTCCATGGATACCACAACCATTCCATCTTTTACGTATCGCGAAGGGGATTTACCCTTACTGGCGCGAACGCAGGATCGAGCGAGGTGGTCACCGGATAATCCCAACTTTGAACGTGAGTATTTCATTGCCTAGATTTCGCCAACGAGCTTACTGTTGTTGCAGTTTGACGAGACGGACACAAATGAATCGTACATATGTTTCCGCCGCCGAGAAATCAAAACCGCCCGAAAGACTCGTGCCTCCCAAGCGACGTCCTCCGATAAGCTGCTACGTTTGCAGTTGGAGCTTGCGCAGGCTTCTGAACTGGCGAAATATCTTCTCGCGCGAGAAAATCTGCAGAAAGAGAATGCACAACAAACGATGCAGGTTTGGGAGAAAAGGATCGAGTTCGCCGACCTCAAGCGCAAGTTCCCGTCCTTAAGTACGAAAGAGGATGAAGAATTACTGCACGACAAGGAACGCGTTGTCAAGAAGCCGAAGATCGAGCCTGCCGGGTATGACGAACTACCTTCCTGATAAGCATGACCTAACATCCTTTTCGTAGTCGTATAACAGGCCTCAAGATTCGTGCAAGAGACAACGATGCAGGTTCGCCAGTGGTAGCAGCGGAGGCCGTCATCCGCCCAAAGGAACGGCTTGCCCTCATCAACGCGGCCGTGGAGCGCGATCTTGCAAAACGCAAAGAAAGAGACCACGGCTACGAGGATGTTGTGGAGGTGACTACCCCTTTACTTCATAGCTTTTGTCGTTAACGTGTTCCACGCAGAGTGCTTACCAGCGGCCCTCACTGCCGTACTCACGACGTCATTGGAAGGCTATGTCGTTATCATCTCGTGCTACACCTTCGCTATCCCGTGTTGACGATGTCGGCGATGATGCTAAGCCAGAACACGTTCGCTACCTTCGGTATCGGCTTACCCGCTTAGGTGGAGTTATGCTCGACAGAAGAGATGCCTTCATGCAAAGGATGGGTATCTCCGACGATGATGGCGCGCTCCTTCGACGGCGACATGCTTTTGGTCAGCCACTCGACGATGGCTTCGGTGACGCTGAGGACGAGGAAATGCGGCGCCGTTTGCGGGAACGTTGGCGCTTCGATCAGGATGACGATCCCGCCGTCGCGCCAGAGGGTCCTGAGGAACAAGATCTGGTTCTCATAGACGATTATGAGCCTAAATATTTGCGTCACATGATGACGTTGCTCACAGAACAAGATCACCAACTCATTAATAACGACGCCACTTTGTACGTCTTACAGGACGGCCGTACGCGCCCCGTCACTCCCTACCGAATAGGTGTTCCTCAGCCCATGGGTCGCAAAGAGCAGCAAAACTCCCAGCGCGTGTACACCAACGGAACCTCACCACTCGCGGCGTCCAGACAAATGTCTGCTAGCGTTCCCCTGCCCTCGATCCCGAACGGTATGCCAATATCGATGCAGGCCCACATGAAAGGCATACAACCCCCCTCAGCGGTTCCCCATGCGCGGATATGCTCCAATGGAAATGTGCAGCCTCAAGGAACGCCAAATGCTTCCTCTTCAGAACCTTCCCAACGGGCTAGCTCATCTCCCTTGCCGACGAAGGGGTTGAGCGCCTCTCCGGCTACTGCTCCTATAGCTGACGGAGACGCAGTGAAGCTCTCATCGCCCAACGGGACGCCTGGCATACCACCTACTCCAGAGGTGCAAACGCCCAGCCAACCATCAGGAACTCCACGCCTGAAAGCTGATCCCCAGCAAGCGGTTTCCATTCCGCTGAATGGGTATCATCACGTCCCGATCAACGGGTATGCGATCCCCAACATCTCTTTCACGCCACACCCTCGGCAGCTGAACGGCCTATCGCCGCAGCAGATGAAAGACCTGCGATCTGCGTTTGCTCAGGATCCGAGCTCGGGGATGCAGGGTACGCCTGGTCGGCAAATTCAGGCGCCTTATGTCGGGCACCTAGTACCCAACGGAACCCATTTCAACATGCAAATGGGTGCAGGAGCGAATGTAAATCTCAAGCTCCCGCCCGGCAGGCAGTGGAACGGAGTCGCGTCGCCGCTGCAACAGGCACCAAACCTCGGAAGTGTACCCGACGGTGGTGGAACCCAGATATTGTCCACCGCACTCCCCCTTCATCAGTCACCACCACGTCCACCACCCACGCCAACTTTGAAGATGGCGTCGCCATCCATGCAGCAGTCTGTGCCGAGTTCGCAAGGGGGTTATTAGGACTGGTTTATGCTACTAACTCAGTGTTTCCGTGCGATATGGTACATGTCACACACACTCTATCCCGACTTACTGACTCCTCTCCGTAGCAGCTTTCCTAGTACTAGTGATTTTTGATTATACTACCCACCTCTGTTTTTTATGTCCTTTCCTTACTGTGTATTATAATTCGACCCTTCGTTCACAGTGAAGTCCCGTCGCACGGTGGGCGTCGACGGATACAACGGATATCTCCAACATATGCCCATTGAAGTACTGTATAACCGAAGTTTGTGTGAAACGCAATATGTCGTCTGCGATTAGCAGAAGCTACGCACGAAGTTCGCGGATGGACCTCCTTTCCAGTGTGGAGTTCAAATGAACCCCCTACGTCATGGTTGTGATATCCAGAATTCGTTTAGGCCTTGCCGGCACTGCCCATCGTCGTCCACGGCCTCCACTGCAGAGCATGAAGGTATGGCCTTCAATTTCTTCGTTCACGTCTTCCCTCTTGTGTCTTTGCCCTTCGAGGCTATGTATCACCTGGAGGTCTCGCTGTTACATATTCACATACATCCCAAGGAGTTTACTGCAATTGTAAAAGCGAAATATCTAATATGCGATGCCAGCCGAGTTAAGGGGTTGCCACCTTTTTCGCTCGAGGTTTCTCAGCTGCAACTGAAGGGATGTCGACTGATCGATCTGTTGATTTCTACGAGAGGCGACGTTAGTAGAGTACAAGTCCAGTCAGTTTACGTCCGTACAAGCAAAGTACCAAAGTACAAGTACATGTACGCCCGGTCCGGTCCATATATTTCCGTTGGCCCCGACCCGGATCTTCCCGACAGCTGTGATTTTTGATTTTTTTGCTGCCAACCAGCGTCAGAGTACAATCTCGTCGTCTTCGTCGTTGTCATTGTTATCGGCAGCTGTCGCAGCTGAATCGAATGTGCAGCGGAAAATGAGTGCACCGCGTCCCACGATGAAGACATTCCAGAAGCGCTTCTGCACTGCTCTGCCCCGCGCTGCATCCTCGTCGCCGTCCTCGTCGCTGTCCAGAGTGCGCTCAAACTCTGCATCGTCTGCACGCTCGCTCTACACTGCCAATGCAGCCTCGGGGCCACTTGCCTTCTTCGATTCTCCACCCCCGCCCCCGCCCAGCTCTCGGCCGGGCAACCCCCATGTCCTCTCCACATCCCGGCTCCCTGTCAAAGCCGAGGGCGAAGGCTCGTCCAGTCAGCACACGCAGAGCTCACCCAACAGCCATGGACAGACTTCCAGTCAACCGCCCTTCTCGCTCGCGCTCACTTCGCCCCAAGCAAACGCATCCCCGCCGCACGCCCCCGTAGCGTACCAGACAGCCGCCCTCTTCCCTTACTCCTCCTTTGCACCTGTCCCATTCTACAACATCCATGTCTCGGACCACTCCGATTCCCGCAAGCATGTAAAACGCCCTCGCCTGCGTTATCACCTCGACGTCGGCGCATACGGCATCCCTAAGCGAGCCAGCAAGCACGTCACACCCCGCAAAGACGACTACAGCAACAACCCCCTTTTTCAGGGTCGCGGCCCACAGGCAGAAGACCTCAGCCTTGCTGTACAAGTCGGTGAGGACGCTTACTTCGTCCGCGAAAATGCCATGGGCGTCGCCGATGGCGTCGGTGGTTGGTCACGACCGAAAGGTGTGTTTTTCATTTCAAGCCCATTTGTGATATCGATGCGATTCTTGTTACCTAGATCCGACAGCATCCAGTCATACACCAGAAGAACCCACCCCAAGTGCATTATTTGCAAGACGGCTCATGCATCATTGCTCAGTAGAAACACTTCATGCAGAGAAGACAGCTGACTCTCGTCGTCGTACTGTCTCTCCATCTCGCAGCGTGTCTCCCCGGCGTACTAATTGCACAGCCTTGAATGACTCGTGGCCGTGGAGTGCTGACCCAGATCAACTCAATGAAGAACTCGAAGATTCTTTGGAAGACCTTGAGGACGGACTGGATATATTGGTGATTCTCGAGCGTGCCTACGAGAATACGCTCAAGGCTCATGTTGTAACGGAGCCTGCGGAGACGTCTTCCTCTCCGCCACTAGTCGAGGCTGGTACACCTTCACTAGCAACGATACCTGAGGACGACGACGTCATCATCGCAGAGTCCACTGTGCACAAGAAACGTCCAGCGCCGCAACCACCAGAAACTCCCATGCCCTCTCTTGCGAAGACAGTACCACTGATGACGGGCTCGTCTACAGCACTCGTTGCGGTTTTGCAGCATTCCCAGCGCAACTCTCCACAAGACGTCCCTCCACCCAAACCAATGCTCTTCTCTGCTCCAGTTCCTGCCGCTGCATGTGATGCAGTTCTTAAGATTGCACATCTAGGTGATTGTATGGGTATGCTTGTGCGCAACGAACAAATCGCATGGCGTAGTGAGGAGATGTGGTGGAAATTCAATACCCCCGTACAGCTTGGGCCTCGTTCGTCCGCCCGTCCACGTGACGCCCAGATTGTGGAACTCCCGGTGCAGGCAGATGACATCCTCATCCTTGCCAGTGACGGACTCAGCGACAACTTGTGGGACTCGGAAGTCCTCGACGAAGTCGTGCGATTCAAGCGCTCGTTCTTGAAGGACAGCGAGCGCAGCGTAGGTGGACTACTCGGGCGTCGAACTCTGGCTGGTATGTTGAGTGAAGCATTGTGTTCGCGGGCGCGCCGTGTTTCAGAGAGGAGGGGAAAGAGTGTCACTGATGATGATGACGGAGATGTGGAAGATGAAGTTCCCTTTGCCCGCCGGGCAAGGGAACAGGGCAAGTCTTTCAAAGGTGGAAAAATAGATGGTAAGACGAGCACGAACCACTGCTGTGACCATGCTGACGTTACCTTGGTAGACATCTCTGTCCTCGTGGCGGTCATCTCTGTCCTCGTGGCGGTCATCTCTCCGGCCCCGGAACCAATCCGGAGCTCGCTGTGATTATCAAGTTGTTCTGATTCGCATTCTGAGTGGTGTTTCGCATCAATGGTCTGGAGCAGCAGTAGCATATGCATTGTACAACATTCCCTTGCATAGTTATCATGTATGTTCATTGCAGAGGTATATTCGAGGAAACCTCTTCTTGGTTCCACCAGTCTTAGATTTGTGATATCAAGCGAGGCGACGATCAATTGGAAGACGCAGTTGAAATGGAAGTAGCGTTACAGTGTTTCTACAAAACATCTAGCTGACATCCATAGCCTCACCTCTGATCGGCGTAATCTCTTCACTGACAACCAAGCTACGAATATGTTCGCTCTTGATAGCCGTCGTCCCATGCCTAAATCCATACTTTAATTCCTTCGCAACCCGCTCGTTGGGTTTGACAAAGTTTCGCAACAATTCGGTGTGGGTAGCCGTGATGACGCAAGCGTCGATATTGGATCCGGAACCAAGGTCATTGAAAATACCTGCAGCAACAGCATCACAGACTAGCTTGAGGGCTTCCTCCCGCTGAACGGCAGGACGAACGTTATCATTTGAGTACCAACTAGGCAGCGCAGGGGAGAGAGATTGTCTGCCTACCTCCATGTTTGGTTTCCATCCATTTTCGAACACGGCCATGGCTGCCAAGCTGCCTGACCCCATGGTGACATAGGGGAGTTTGTCGGTAGAACCATGTGGATGGACAGTGAAGAGGTGAGCACCAGTCGAGTCCACACCTCCCAGCACAAGCGCAGCACCCACGTGGCCCTGGTATCTGCAAGGGAGTAAGCATGGCTATACATCTCTCGATGCAACAACCCTGCGTACTGGAAGAGATATTGCTTGAGCATGGTCATGGCTGCGACTACGCGGGGTTTCCTCCCCGTCGACAACGCATGCAATTCAATATTCGAGGATATAGCTGCAGTTACGAATTCAGTATCTGCAGCCGTCCCCGCGCCGCAGCATCGAATAGATTCTGCGATGTAATGTATCTACGTTGACGCGTGAGCGACGCACGACGATCTAAAGGGACATATACTGCGATACGACACGCACTTTCTCGCAATTCTTATCGGCTACAATTTCTCCTTCGGTTGCACGCGTGTCTGCACCGAGAATAATGCCGTCCTTGAAGATACAGCCTACGATCGTTGTACCGGTGCTGGTAGCCTTGGGCAAAGCAACTCCTTTGTGCTGGAGAAAGTCATTCCTGTGTATGATGCGTTATCACCAGCAGTAGTCGTACGACGCTGTCGTTGCTCACCGTAGTGAATTTGAGAAATCAAAGCCTGGTCCCCTGTACATGGCGGTCTGCGTGCAGAATGGCCTTACGCGTCGACGACGAGGACAGCGGACACCGCATTCCATATCAGTCGCATCCAGCCCCCCCTGGCACCGGTCTCACAGCCATCCGTTGACCCAACGACGCAGCCAGCCTCAGGTTCGGCCCAGAAACCAACAGACAATCCGATGGACGGCTGGAGCAAGCTGCAGTCGAGTTTTTCGAACATGAACTTCGCACAGTCAGCAAACAAGCTGGCGAAGGGCTTCAACTCTGGCGTTCAGTTGACCAGAGAACGGCTGGGCCAAGTTGCGCCCGAAGACATTACAGAACTGCCCCAAGGTAACACCCATTCGATTTCCTCCACACATTCTCCAATGACAACTTTATGCAGAGTACAAGGATCTGGAGGCCCGCGTCGACGCACTGCGTCAGGTCCACATTGCCTTGTTCAAGTAAAGTTGCATCGTACCCCTTATTTGCGCCGTTATCTGACGGCACCCCTTTGACCAGGATCACCAAAGCATATGAGAACGAGACTTACGACTACCCTGTGCAAATTCAGGAATCGATCTCCGAACTCTCCACCACAATCGGACACGGTATCACCAACTTCGCAGCCAACAATCTCAAGGGCACGAATCTCCCCGTCCCTTCGCCTGTAGCTCCACCCGCTGCTCAACACAAGACCCTCCCTCACGCCCTCTGTCGCGCTGCAACCACCGGTGCCAATGCCCTGCAGGGTGCCCCCGGCGGCAATGAGCACAAGCTCCGCAACGCACTTGGAGAATATGCTGGAGCTTGGGAAAGGATTGCCGATGCACGCCTTCAGCATGACGAGTCCATCCGGGCTGAATATCTTCAACCGTGGCAAATGACCTTGTCGACATCCATCGGTGTCGCCATGAAGGCTCGCCAGGCTGTCCGAGTCAGCCGACTTGAGCTTGACGCTGCGAAGCAGACGTACGGAATCTCACTTTCTTCTTGTTGAGGGGGGGCCGGATCAACTGACACTCAATATGGTTAGTTTGAAGAATGCCGGTCCCGCCAAGCAAGAACAGGCACGACTGGAGGTTGAGAACGCAGAAGATGACCTCGTTCAGAAGACCGAGGTTGCAATCACGCTCATGAAGACCGTGCTTGAGAACGTCAGTCTCCCTCCTGGGGCTATTACTATCTACTTGACGGATGCATCTAGCCCGAGCCCTTAAAGAACCTGAACGAACTAGCCAAAGCCCAGGTGGGTGTCCTTCTGACCCTTGTAACCATGACTCTGACTTGGTTACAGCTGATCTACTTTACCACGGCTGCGGAAGCACTCTCATCTGCGCAAGGAGCAATTGAAGAGCTAAGCGTCGCCGCAGAAGGCGAATACAGGTGCAGCCCGACCGCGTCTTCCGTCGTATAGGATTTACTCACAGGAAACGTCATAGGAAGTCACGCGACCACTGAAGTTCCCATATGAACGACGGACTGGAGGTGTTAGCTTATCGAGACCTAGTGACTACGTCTACATCCCTTTTCATACTTTTCATATTGCCGTGTCCCCTCGCCCTCCTTTCTGTGTGACATTGTATATGCCTACCTGTTTGTGTGTTGGACTCGCTGTTTCAATTTTCACGTTGTCTGCCTCGCTGGGGTGTAGGGAAGGGAAAAAAAAAAAAATAGTGCCCACTGGCTGGATTGAACAACCGACCTCATCATCTCCCTGACCGACATTGTCAAGTACAAGTGACGCGCTCTACCACTGAGCTAAGCGGGCTTTGTTTGGGAGGCCTTCTTCGGCCGTAGAGTCCGGTTTGTGGTTTGGCCGGAGACCTCGATTCCGATCTGAGATACATATCTCATGAAGACGCGATTAATGTGGAGGCGACAGCGAGCAAGCTTCTGCGCGTTCGGTCCAGGTCTACGCTCGTTCCATAGATGGCGCCTAACGAACATCCAAAACACTTGTCAATCCCCGCTCATGGTACCTCCGTCGTCACTTGTCTCTTACTGTCGCATGGCCGTATTGTATCTGCGTCGGATGATCATTCCATCCATGTCTACTCTCCTGCAACCAGTGAATTGCTGCAGTCGTTACGCGGCCACGAGGGTGGCGTCTGGACACTAGCCGCTAGTAGGGACATCCTCGTCAGTGGCTCAACAGACCGCACTGCCGTATTTGGGACCTCAACACCGGTCGCTGCACCCACGTGTTTGAAGGCCATACTAGCACTGTTCGCTGTCTCGCAATCGTAAGACCAGAAGTAATCGATGTCGAAGGGGAGGGAGGAGTTATCACGAGAGAGAAGTGGCTGAAACAATCTCTTGTTGCCACTGGCAGTCGTGATCATTCTCTACGTGTTTGGGCCATACCACGTAAGGTCAACCCGAGTACCGATAGTCAGGTGCAGACGATACAGACGCTGAACTGACTGAGGTACAATTTTGTCCCGACCAACTTTACTGTTTCTCATCTTCCTGTCCGGGAGGACGTCAACGAGAATCCGTACCACAAATCACACCTGGAAGGGCACGACCACGCCGTTCGTGCACTAGCTGCACGGGGACGCATGCCCATCCCGGGTAGTTTTGACTGTACTGTACGAGTATGAGACGTCTGCACAGGGGAGTGCAAGTGGGTGCTAGCGGGGCGCACCCAAAAATGGTACACATACCGCCGTTATCTCTCCTCTGACCTGTGTGCAGTTTATAGTGTGGTTTTAGACATACGTCGCATCATTGCTTGCTCGGGATCGATGGGCTGTGCTGTACGCGTCTGGAACCTTGGCAACGGCTAGTGTCAACAGATGCTGACCGGGCATGCATCCCTTGTTGGATTACTCGGCCTGTCCCCCCCATTTGATTTCCGCCGCTGCCGACTCCACGTTGCGGATCTGGGATCCCGATACTGGCGAGCTCCGTTGTCTCTTGAGGCCCACAGTGGGGCCATGTCATGTTTTCAACATGTGTTTGAAGTACTCAGTGGCTCTGACGGGACCTTGAAGATGTGGAACATTAACATTCGTGAAGGAACCTTGCCAAGGATTTACTCACCGACGTGGACGCGATCTGACAAGTTTTATTTAAAGGCCGATGTTGTGTTGCAGCGAGTAACCATGATAATGCGACTATGTGGGATATTCGGCACTTTAGGACGATTGGGACAGCGAATCGCCGGGAGGTATCTATGACGATGAGACAAGTGAAGAAGACGAGTGGACACGATGGGCTAGGGTATGCAAAAGGTTCAAGGAGTTCCGGTGTTATCGACAACGGCGATCGTTGCCGTGGACCTTCAGTCACAGAATGAGCCCATGGTGCTGAGGGCTCTAAGAGTGGAACAAGTTACTTCCACCCGAGCCGGCAACACAACTTATAGTGTTTAAACCAGAATATAGTGTACTCTTCGGACGCAGGAAGCTACCTAACGGTATCATCAGAGCTTACCTTGTCATTTTGTGGGTAGCACCAAAGTAGCCTTAAGACTGTGACCTGCGAAAAACACCGCATTACCAGAATAAAACAATAGCTAGTTCCCTATTGGTGGAGTTATGCGGGATAAAATGCACAAGCGACCTCTTTACAACTTTTTACTCTGCGGATTTAGCGGAATAGGTCGCCTAATCATGCCTTCCAAGCCTTCGCGATCAGCTCCGTCAAACCTGCCAGATGCGTACGTAAATACGTTAGATATTTGCGGGGAAAAAGACGGAATATGGCATTACACACCGATATCGTTTGTGTTGAACTGGTAAATCCCAACGAGAACACCAAGTGTCATTGTCCGGAGTGTCCATCTCATGAAGTTTCCAAGAAACGGAAACTTGCGCGGATGAAGATAGTCCACAAGCATACAGTCAAACTGGACAAGTTCGATCGTTCAGTCAAGATGTCCATGTCGATCCGGAGAACAGGTTCTTACCCCGATGTGACTGTGCATCACCAAGCCTATGCCGAAGAGTCCATCAAAGACGGGGTAGCTAGACACAGAGGTGACGAATGCAGCAGCAGTCATTGGAACGAGGGATGCAGCCAAGAGACGCTCGAACGACCAATGGTATGATCCATGCATCTTGGATGGCGGGGGAAAGGTAGTCGGGTCATTGACCGTACCCTTGTAGATGGCTGCGGCTGTTTTTAGGGAGGGTGCAGAATCAAACAGGTATGAATAGAATACGTACGTCCACCTGGAACGTACTGTGCCGATGCACTGGCAGCATGTCTCACTGAAAACGACCGCTCAGAATACGAGAATCGTGAAGGAAGGGACGAACCTTGGGGTGATCGCAACACGCGGAAACCTGCCGTCGATGCAAATGTCTTGGACAGCGGTGCGCGCAAGAGGACAGAAGTTGACATCATGTCTTGAGCAGAAGTTGTGTCGCCAGAATGCGGAGGGCAGGCAGGCAACTTCGCCAGCCAATCGGAGATGATTACATAACGAGACACCTTGATTAAGTAAGCGTCCACTGACGCGTTCACAGTCAAGGCAATAACTCAAGTTGACATCGATAATGGACGCACACGCATCAACGTCGACAGGCGCGATGGACGAACGTAGAAAGAATGCATTGAAGAGTTACCGCGAGGTAAGTCAAAGGCACAGCTGATTACTCGCCAAATGACCGTATCTCAGAAAATGCGTGCACACGAGAACATCAGCCAAAGCCTCAAGAACTGTCAGCTCATCTTGTATACTCTGCAAGACTCAGAGAACTCACATCCCTGTCATCTAGTGCGGTTTTCCCTTAAGGACCTCGAGAAGGATTTTGCACAGACGGAAAATGACATCAAGGCTGTCCAGTCCGTTGGACAAATCATTGGCGAAGTGATGAAGCAACTCGACGATGAAAGATGTATGTCCCTTTTCATTCCCCCCCTTAAGAGACTTATGAAACCCGTTTCAGTCATTGTTAAAGCCTCTTCAGGACCTAGATACGTGGTCTCATATCGTCCGGCACTTTCTGCCGCGAAGCTTAAGTCGGGAACGCGCGTTTCTCTCGACATGACCACACTCACTATCATGCGGATATTACCACGTGAAGTCGACCCACTAGTATACAAGATGAGTTTGGAAGACCCTGGCAAAGCTTCTTTTGCAGGCATTGGCGGCTTGTCCGAGCAAGTGCGCGAACTTCGTGAAGTGCGTGAGCCGCCATCTGTTTGTACTAGACTAATATCCACCCCTAGGTCATCGAACTCCCCCTCCTCAATCCAGAGTTGTTTACTCGCGTTGGTATCAAACCTCCCAAGGGTGTCCTCCTGTATGGCCCACCTGGCACGGGAAAGACCCTTCTTGCGCGTGCAGTAGCCGCAACTCTGCACACCAATTTCTTGAAAGTCGTCTCCTCCGCCATCGTCGACAAGTACATTGGTGAGTCTGCGCGTGTCGTGAGAGAGATGTTCGGGTACGCGAGGGACCACGAGCCATGTGTGATTTTCATGGACGAAATCGACGCTATTGGGGGGCGAAGGTTCTCCGAGGGAACGAGTGCCGACAGAGAAATACAGAGGACCCTCATGGAGGTAACGGGCAATTTTACTTCCTGTTCAGCTCAAGCCTCTCACGATTTTACTTGCAGCTGCTCAACCAAATGGATGGCTTCGATTCGTTGGGACGGACGAAGCTAATCATGGCTACTAATCGTCCCGATACACTCGATCCCGCGCTGTTACGCCCTGGACGGCTTGATCGTAAGATCGAAATTCCACTCCCCAATGAGCAAGCGCGGCTAGAAATCCTCAAAATTCACGCTCAGGCGGTAAATAAGAGTGGCGAGATCGACTTTGATGCTATTGTCAAGGTTCGTCGACGTGGGCAGGGTTCGTAGCTCCACACCCTTATGCAACCTTTTCTAGCTCACAGATGGGTTTAACGGAGCCGACTTGCGGAATGTCGTCACAGAAGCGGGGATGTTCGCCATTCGCGATGACAGGTAAGTTATCATCATAACTTCAGGGTACGGTGACTTATCTACCCCTAGAGAATATATCATCCAGGAAGATCTCACCAAGGCTGCGCGTAAAGTTGGCGATGCCAAGAAGCACGAAAGTAAGCCGTTGATAATTTTACCGAGGTTGTCAAGCTTAGGTCGTTGTCCACAGCGAAACTAGAGTACTCGGCGTAGCTTGCTTGTATTGTAGCGTACTCATCATTTTATTGACATTTTTGCAAAACTACCCGATGGAATACCAGTCCACAGCACCCTCCGTTCGGAAGTGACTCGTCGTAAGACTCCTTTCGCGCTCGTTACAGATACTTGTTGGCTGTTTCTCCTGCTATATGGTCACGTGCCCATGTCGCTTATGTCAGCACCAGCTGACTTAAGTAGCCGTGTTTTCTGTGTCTGTGAAAATTTCCCTCCATCTGTTGACAACCCAGGACCATTCCCAGAGGTAAGTAAAATAGAGTCCATGCCTAGTATTTTCAAGATGATTTCTTTGCTGTGCACCAGGCCGAGTGCTTCTTTGAGGATTTATTACCCTGTCCCTCATTATACGCTAGAGGGTCCTGATCTATCTGTCTTTTTTACCTGGTGTTCTTCAAACATGCTAACCTTACACGACAGGGCAATATAATATCGACAATGTATTTCGGGGAGGGACTTGAAGTAGCAAGTAAGATTTCCCAGTATATACGACAATCATTATGTGTATCTCGATTCCGAGGGAAAAGAACGCGATGTTTACTTGGTCTGGATCTTCATGTGAACAGACTTGGGCCGAGTGAGTTGATCGTAACCTGTCAAAGGAGACAAGTCAAGAACCCAATGAAATATTCTACGTGTTAGTTCAATATACCGAATTTACTGAGGCTGACCCCCCGACCGCTGTTCTTGACACCAGTCCAAGACAACGCAGGATCGAGGAAATCGCAACTAGGAAGCATGTTTGGGGCAGTAGCAACAGTGAGTCTGAAGTTAGAACACACCGGTTGAGAAACACGGTTCCAGTGTTCAACTGATCAACAACGTGGAGGAACGCCTTCTCGGACTCGGGGTTCTCAGCTGCATTGGTCCAGATAGATGCCGTGAGACCATACGGAGAGTCGTTCATAAGGCGAACCGCCTCCTCGTCGGATGATACCTGCACCGATGTGGATCAAGGGTGGAAGCCTACTACAGTTAACAACGGATATACCTTCTGAATGCCGACAACAGGTCCAAATGTCTCCTCCTACAGGACGAGTTGCATAGGTGAGTTATGAGGCAACTGTATGTTTCTTACCATCATCACGTCCATGGCTTTTAAGCGTTTGAGGATGTGAATATATAAAGCATCGTCGAATTTAACTCACTGTGGTCAACACCCACAAGCACTTGAGGGGCAACATATGCGTTGTTCCTTCTCGGGATCGCAGGTCAGATATTGACGACATGACAACAGATAACCGCACGGTTGAGCAATGGGGAACAGCTCCTCTGGAACCAAAGCTTTTGCCCCTGCTTTCACTATCTCCGAGGTGAACTGCCGGTTCCCCAGATTGGAGAGTACTTGCCTGCATCAGCAACCTGCCTTCTGATTCGTTCGGCACTTGCAACGCTAACAACGGGCCCCAGATTCGTGTCAGGCTTGGTGGGATCGCCTAGTTTGTATTTCTTCGTAGATCCGTTAACATCTCAAAAGAAATCAGATAAGAGAGCGCAACCTTGACGAGATCGACGTATCCTTCCACGAACTTATCGTACACCGACTCATGCACATAAATACGCTGATAACAGTAAGTCAAGCATCTTACGGAAAACGTTTGCTGAAGATGGTCATCGACTTACTTCTATCGCGCAGCAACTCTGACCCGAGTTGAACATGGCTCCTGTAAACAGCCGGAATAAGAGGGGAAATAATGGTTGGAGTTGAAACAAATCACCCTACCAGTCGACGAGTTCTGCGATTGTGTAATCGAGATCCGCGTCTGCACGTACATAAGCGGGGTCTTTTCCGCCGAGCTGTCGTCAATGATTGGCACGAACTAAAACATTACAAGGAAGCGAGAAATACCTCCAACGCAACACCCTTGAACCCCGGGCCGTCAACTGCAGGCGCGTTCAACTGCTCGGCCACCCACAACGCTGCCCGTAAAGCATACGAAATCCACAAGTTCGTGTTGAATGACATAGGAGGTGAGGGTCGGTGAGAGGTGAAGAACCTGGATAATCCCCTCAGGGACGCCCGCGTTAACAAGAGCTGTAGCGAAACGCTCGGCTGCCATGGGCGTCTGTGGAGAAGGCTTGAGAATGACCGCATTTCCTGCTACGACTGCGGGTAGAACAGCGTTGATCGAAGTGAGGTACGGGAAGCTAATAGCCGCTTCAAAGGGGACAACGGTCGCAAAAGGAGTGAAAGAGCTTACTTCCAAGGTGCAATAACGAATACTACACCGAGAGGAACGCGTTTGATGTACCGCCTGAAGCCAGGTACGTCTGTGTCCTTCAACGATACGTCTGCAAGACTGGGCTCGGCGATGGAGAGCATGTACTGCGCTCGCGACAGAAAGCCTCTGATCTCTCCGGGAACCTGGCTGACAGGCCTAAAAATACCTTAAACAAAACAGTAAAAGATATCTAACCCACTTGACGCACCGACCCATTTGTTCTGTAAGCTCCAGATACAAGTCATCCCCTTTCATCTTCTCGAACTCTTCCTAACAGGGGGAAACGATGTAGACCTTTTAGCTTCATATGACGGACGGATGATAAGTCCTACCATGAACTTGTGCCCGATCGCGATGCGATCTTTAATGTCTATCTTTTGCCATTCCTTCTGAGCTCGTGCAGCTTTCTGAAGTTTCTCGTCGAGCTCAGATTCATCAGGATATACACGTGTGCACAAAGGTGCCTGGCTGTGTGGACTGATTGTAGTTTGGGACTTAGGATTGGCCATCGTTGTCCACAGTTGTGGTCGTACGAGCGATAATAACCGTTTCGGTGGGTGGCACTTTACGGATGGCCAGGTTAATGACTCGGAAGACCGACGGACCTTATCTTTTGATCTTATCTAACAACTGGCACGTCGATTTCGAAGTATCACAAGGTAAAATTGATGAGCTACAGTCCGAAGTCACGAGACAATCCAAGTGAGAGGTAGCTACAAATGATAGAAACAAGTTGTACGAGCACGCGGTAGCTCAGATGAAGCAGAGGGTTCTAGTACAGTATTCGCGCACAAAGGTACGAAGCGTCCAGAGCAAGAAATCAGTCCGTAGGAGCAACGGGAGTCCAATGTCCACGTCTTAAGCACGAAACAAAGTGTAGAAAGAAAACTACTGTGTGCGATTGGTAATCTCGTTGAGCGCAGCGGCGCCATTAAAATCATACTTTGAATGGTCAGAGAAACGGTGACGATTGTCACTGTAAGTTGTGTAAGTGAAACGCATACAGTGGGGCCATCTCAAGTACGCACGCTCCGGGATGACCACCAAATGTTCATTCAGAAGAATCGGGACATCAAATATCGGGTCTTTGTAGCGAGGATCTTTCTTTGTGGGACACGTGGTGGTCCTTTCTGTACCAGTGGCTTATCCCACCTACGAAGAACGGCGTAAGCAACCTGAGAAGGAGAAAGGCACAAGCAGAGGCGTACTGTCGATTACTTCTTTCAAAGCGGAATACTGGTGGGAGGCAGTTCTTGATTGCGTCGTCCTCGGAGAAATATGCATCTAATTCAGGAGCATAATATGATTGGGACCCAACATCAGCTCCGGTGGTCGTAAACTGCCCCGACGACCTGACGTTCGCGCCAACCGCTTTCCTCTTAGACACTGGTGTAGTCTTTCTCGTTGACAGGGGGTCATCCAATCTACGAGAGAACGGTAAGATGCGGCGCCATGTAAGGGGCACTTAGAGACATACTTCTGATGCCCACGCACAACGTGGAAAGGATTCCAAAGCCGGCAGCGCTTAGCTCCACTAACCACGGACGGAGACACATCTTCCTGCGTGTCCTTCGATGCTCTCTCCGATGAAGAGTCGGTAGTGGATCGGGCTTCGGTGGCTGACAGATGTTGCCCGTTTGTTAGCTTTGTAGTAAACTTCTTTGATTTGCATTGGTCCTGGACCAATTTGCACGTCACTTCGTCTAACAAGAGAATGCTGTGAGCAGGAAAATATTACAAAGCAGTGGAACAATACCATTGACGTCGTCCAACTCCTCATAGGTAAAGCGTGTAACGGTCGGAGAAAACGAGACTTTCTTCACCAATGGCAGGAGGCAGTCCTCTGCAACGTTACACGGCTTCGTTGCCTGGCCCACGCTGTTCGAGGTAGTCATCTGAGCGCAATTGATTTGCAATTTATCGTCGACGCCTATTGCGCTCAAGCCGTCGATCCAGCTCCCGCATGATGACGGTAAGCTTGACATAGTCTCGCTCGATGGAACCTCCTGTCCCATGAGGCAAGAACCGGGAGCCACGATACTGGTAGCTTCATCTACATTGCCATGCGTCAAGGTCGCGGTGCGAGTCGTTTGATTGAAGATACTTACCTTCGTCCGTCACCCTAGCCCGCACCGTCTGACGTATTGGAGGACACAGTAGTACAGCGACCTTGCGGCCGTGGTTCAGGTACCCTACGTTGCCCTGGAAGGGCGGCGCTCCATCCCTAGTGCGAAAAATATCGATGAATTGCGTGAACGTGACGGGCATACCGGTGGACACAATGTCCGTAAGGATATCAAGAGGGCTGCTGGAAGCCATTGCTAGAATTTGTAGTCAAGAGTAGAAGAAGTATATGTGGAACACAGTCGTAGTATGTGAGAGAGCAAAGTGAGGCTTGAGGAGCGAAGATAAAGGAGTGCATGCTAGCCCGAGGGGTTGACATCGAGATCCAAACCACCCCTAATTATAGAGGGGGAGCATGAGTCAGAACGACCTCCGGATTTTTACTCTTGCAGTCGAGGTGAATCCAAATACAAGCCAAGGTTTTCGTCGCAATACAGAAGAACGGAGGCCCCTAGAAGACGTGTGCTTGGGGTCTACGTATCCCAGGACGCGGAAGCAAGTCTGTGAAGTACTCTCCCGCGACGGGCCGACGGGCCACCCAACCGTGTCAAATATCAAATAGATGGTGTCACAACAGTCACACAATAGAGTCACCTGTGTGACCTTGGACATGAGATAAAGGCAAGGCTGCAACCTCGCGCACAGAATGGACCTGCAACGGATGGACTTTTGTATTGCCAGTGAAGTTGTAACCGTTCCTCAGCGATGGTAGCACTCCAGTTCATGGTTAGAGGTCACCCACCTCGGCTGTCCAGGCTGACCAGTAGCAAAGTGGCTACAGCACCTGGGCTGCCGGTTCGATCCCAGCTCTGGGTAGTACTACTGGCTACAGTCTTGCATACCAGTAACACTGCGTTCCTGGTACACCAAGACTGTATTTATATAGGGCCCTAAGTCCATCTTCCCTGGCACAGGACACTATCAACCTAGCCATGCACTGAATCTGCATTACAGTGAAGCAAATACTCCCGCAGCCACCCCCTGTACGTTCGTTGAGGGTGCTCGCTGCATTTCTCACGCTCATTCGCAATTGTATCCGTTGATTGTCAGAACAGCTTTTTGTAAGAAGTTGGTTGCTCGACACAGCTACGGGCTGCGACGAGCTCGACGACTACAAAGTCATCGATGGCCTTCCGAATGAGTCTCTCTGGGCCCGCACGGACGTTTCTCACTGCATTCAGCGCAGCCGTCGGTCGTCTCGACAAGTCGTTGTCGCCGTTCGACACCATCGCGCGACTTCGGGCCCACACCTTCGTTCCCTCCGATGCAATATATGTCTTCCATCTCGTCCTTGCCGTGTTCTGGCTCACTATCATGCAAGTTCCGTCATTTCCAAGCAAGCTATTGATACCCATCCTATTCGGAATTGCGCTCTTCATCCCGTTCACGTCCCAGTTCTTCTTCCCCGCCATCCCAGTTTTTGCATGGCTGCTTACGTTCTACACAAACCGCTTCATTCCGGCTGACTACCGCCCCTCAGTGCACGTCGTTCTACTTCCAACTCTCGAAACCGTGCTCTATGGCGCTAACATATCTGACATCCTGACACGATTCACTCACCCTATCCTCGATCTCTTAGCGTGGCTTCCGTACGGCGTCATCCATTATACATTCCCTATCGTGCTCGCCATCTTTCTGTGGCTCTTCCGTCCACCTCTTGCCCTCAAAACGTGGGCAAAGACGTTCGGCTATATGAATCTGACCGGTGTCTGCGTCCAAATCCTCATACCCTGCGCCGCGCCGTGGTATGAACTCATCTATGGTCTCACACCAGCCACTTACGGAATAGCTGGCTCACCCGGTGGGCTTGTACGCATCGATGCCCTCTTCAGTGGAGATGGCTACCAACGTGCCTTCGGCAGCTCCCCCCTTGTTTTTGGCTGCATTCCCAAGCTTGCATGCTGCTTGGGCAACGCTAGGCTGCGCTTTTTGTATCCCATTTCTGGCAGGGTGCTGGGCGTATGGCATGGGTATACGTCAGCGTGCTCTACTGGAGCACGATGTACCTCACTCACCACTACCTCATTGACGTTGTCGGCGGTGCATGTCTTGCCACCACGTTCTTCTACTTGTTCATGCCCGACGAACTGCGTGGAGCAGGTGGATGGGGAAGCAGTGAGTACGGGGGCGCGAGATCCAAGTATGAACGGTACGACCTCGAGAGCAGGCGTCCAGGAGGCTTCATGGGTCTGGACGACTTTCGCGAGTGACACAGGGGAGTCTGTGGATCTGTCCGACGAGGTTGAAGAAGAGAACATCGTATACCGCTCTCCCAACCCAAGCACCAGTGGCTCGGCACCACACTCGTTGATGCATTCGTCGCCGAAAAAACCGTCGATGCAGAATGGGTCAGGAAATGGCCGGACGCATCGACATACGGCGAGCATCGCAAGCTTGATACGTCCAGATGAACGCTCAGAGGGATGGAGTCCGATCGGTAACAAGGGTTTTGCGTTTCCCCCAGTTACCCGGTGATATACACCTCCTTTTCACTTTGCGCACACCTTGTCGTTAATATACGGTAACATGAGGAGCCGCAAATTCCCCTGTCGGCACTGGTCAAAGATAGAGGGTTCAGAGTTTTCGTGGGTCGCTGGGTTGATTTATATTACTTCTACTCATATTACGGCGACGTTTATACGTACATAGTAGCAAAGCCACAGGTATTCTCTCGAAGTTGTGGCCTGACGGCAGTGCCTCAGGCCTCGAGCCCTTGTTACGATGTATACTAATTATTTACTTGAGATTCATTTCATCGGCAGATCCCATAAACATTGTTTTGCACATCTTCGGGCGTTCTATCATTTACATACAAACATTGGGCGCGATAAGAAAGGGGAAAAAACGAAAAATATACTGCATACATGTCTAGCATTCAAGGATTGCAATAAAGTAGCAGCGAAAGCATGCAAGACGGCACGAAGAAGGTACAATGATGCCATGGTATACGGTTGGTGGGAACAAAGGAAAACCGATAGGACGTGCGCAACAAACCAAAAACTCTGGTGCAATTGTTTAATGCTGAGTCTCAAGCAAGCACTAGCAAAGTGAGGGAGTGTAAGAAAATGGCAAAAATTCCGACCTAAATGGTAATGATATATGGTCGTAACAGATAGAAGTGGGACGCGGGTGGAAGCGTAGGGGATAATGGAGTGCAAGATTGAGGATATCAACGGATGCGGCCGGGCAAGGTCGCGTTGCCGCTCCAGCGGGAGCTTAAGGTCACAAACAAGTGCCTATCACTCGTCTTAGAACCTTGATGGTAGGATAAGGAAAAAGAAAGCTGCTCACATCAGCAAATCCCGTCTACGGAAGGGAGACGCAAGCCACTGTTCCAGACGGAACCGCCCCCCTGGCATCTATATAACAGCCCAATCGACCGGCGTGATCACACCTGATCACCGCCAGCACATAGGGAACCAGGGTGGGCGCGCCACTTCATCTTTCCGCCATTATCGCTCTTGCTTTCCACTAGCAAGCGCAGCCGCATTACAAGCTTCGCATACCCGGGAAGAGCGACCCCTCCCCTGGTTGCTACTGCGCGGGCCAGAGCTATTCCTCCTAGATGGCGTGGTCCAACCACGTCCGCATTCCCAATCCATATCGCCACGCCCATCGCACGCATATATTGCTTCAGAAATCCCTGTTCGCGCGCCAAGGGTACGGAACATGTCACGGAGTCCAGCGTAATCCGGCAAGTCGGTAAAACTGCAGTGAGCGGGCATAGGCAAGGAGGGTATGGAACTCCCGTGGAAGGGCCATTGTGAGAGGACACGATGCAGATATTGCAGAAGCACGTCGTCCAGTACGCGAAGAGGCAGGGGAATAGGTGCCAGAGCCAGCGGGGTATGCAGAGGAGGGTGTACGCGCACAGCGGTGGATAGGAGGAGTACCTGCAGGATGAACTGAAGACGACCGCCCCCTACGGGGAGTACGTGCTTGCTGTGAGAGAGGAATGGAATACTCTATCGCAGCAGGACGTGGACGCGTCATTTTCGTCGTTGATATCATCCCCTGGATCCAGCTCCATTTCGCCGTCACTGTCATCATCCAAACAATGACTGTTAGTACCAGCGAGTGTCCCAATGGCGTGCATCTTTGCTTCGTAGATTGCATCCCAAGTTGCGGCAACAGTGTCTGCACGGATTTTACGCCAGGGTAACGTACCACGCAAAAAATAGATGAGCATATAGGCCAATGATTCAAGGTCATCGCGTCGTGAACATTCTTGAAACCATTGTTAGGTATACCAACACCAGGCTTTCGCAAGACCAACTTACCAATACCTCTGTGTGCATTCAGACTAGCAAAGAGTGACGTGCCAACGCCATGCCGGCGCTCGCCATGCTCGCCCCTTTCTCGTCGCCAAGGAACATGCTCTCCGGTAAGGGGATCACGATATCGCCGAGCGAGACCAAAGTCGATGACGTTTACAAGATGTGATGAGGCTGTATGCGGCAGGCCCATGACGAAATTGGCGGGCTTGACATCCCGGTGAATGAATGACCGAGAATGGATGAATTCAAGGCGTGAGAGCTGAGGTAACGTTAGCGTATAGGACAGGCGGGAGAAGATGGGTGCGCAAATAAATCGCATAAACAGGCATGGAAAAAAAGGGTGTACAGTGGCCCAAAATTTCCGCCCATAACGTATAAGATTAGATAGATTCACTCACCAACTGATCTGCCAGCAACAGGACTGTTCTGAGGGAGAAATGCCTGTTGCATTTCTTGAAGAGGTCCTCCAAGGAAGGACCAAGGAGGTCGATGACCATGACATTATAGTCGCCTTGTTTACCAGAGTACATAATCCAGGGCACACCTGGGCCCCCCATCAGAGACTTATACACCTTGGATTCTTGCTTCAAAGGGGAAGTGAGGGCATGGGGCAACGCGGGCTCCAACTTTATCGCGACCTCCTTCCCAGCGACGGTGTGGACACCGAGGAAGACAGAGCCTATGGGGGAAGTAAGTTACTCGCAAAAGCGAAGGTTCTGACTATAAATACCACAACCACCGTTGGCAATCTCCTCTTCTAATCTATACTTTCCACCAAACGTGAAGTCCATGTCTGTTGTCAGAAGCACAGGAGCCGACCGCGAATCTTCAATCAGCTACTACGATATATGGGCCAAGTAATCTCGCTCACCGATCTTGTACAAAGAATGTCGTGTCAAGTACAGGCAAAATGCCGGCGATGGACGCGTCTAAGGATGCCAGCGACGACGAAAGCAGTGAAGAGAGCGAAGGGGACGACTTTTGGACTTTTAGTGTGGGTGGCGTGCGTTGAAATCACTACTTACGTAAGCACTCGGCTTTTCGGCGGGCTTATTCTCGATATGGCAAATTGCGGTTGATCCCGTGATCGCGTCACGCGTTTTGATAGCAGCCAGCTGCAACGTCTGAGTGAACCAACTACAGACCGGGCTGGCCGATTGAACAGACACGAGTTTGCGAAACATACAGCAAGCTGGGCAGTACTACCGGGGACACGTTGCAAACCTGTTACTAACGGGATCAAGTTCCAAGACAACGTCTCACGCCCATTACATTATATATCTGTTGACATTTGGCCCGTGCATGCCAGCATCATTCTGACGGAAATTAGTAGTATTGCGTTGTGTCCTGAATATGTAGCCCCCCCACCGTTGTCGTGCTCGCGACTGCCCTGGGTGCCTGCAATGATATGGATAAGGGATGGTCCTGATAGGGAGTCAGTACGGACAGGCGAGTAATGCTACACACATTCCTCGGTAGTTGGAAATGGAAGACGCACGAAACACACATTATCACACGCACTTGAGCATAGCTACGTGCACGGGTTCACATACGCACTTACAAGAAATTTGTGCCAGCAAACTTCATTGAATGAGGTTTACTGGATCATCCGAAATAAGAGTCTGTGGTCAGGGGGTTCTAATGAATCCCCAGACCGCAGATGAATTGATTTTCTGCTTACCGCTCGATACAGCCATACTAGTAGAATTATGGACGGCGACGAAGGTCGGCACTCCAACCATATATGAACATCGCGGATTTTGCCGAATCTCTGCAAAATTTGGATTTTGACCGTAATTGGAATCCCTCTACGAGGACTGTCATGTTCGTTCGATCACCTCGCATATCCCTGCCAGTGCTTGCAAGATGCACGCGGTTCAGCACCGCAAACACACCGTACGTTACAAGAAGCGTCGTGCTCAACTCGCAGGCCTCATCTCACAGTTCACAGCCACGTCAATGAACCCTTGAAGACGAGCATCAAATCGCAAACAAACTCAGAGCCACGGTCTGCATTGACGGAGCCTGAGCTGGCCTCGATGGTCATCAGAGGACGTGCCATATACCCGCCTACGCCCCTTCCGCGCCCGCACAACATTCCAGTGGCATCCCTCCACTTCCGCTCGCATCATCCATTCCTACTGGACACGTTCGCGCACTTCGCGGAACACGCAGCCAGTGCGCTTGGCATACCTGCTTCGCGGCCGGTACACCTCCCTACTCAGCGCTCGATGTGGACTGTCATCCGTGGGCCTTTCGTTCACAAGAAAAGTCAGGAGAACTTCGAACGACGAGTACACAAACGAGCCATCAAGGCATGGGACGCCGACCCAGAGATCGTGAACATGTGGGTGAAATACCTCAGAAAGCACATGATGCCGGGTGTTGGGATGCGGGTGACGAAATGGGAAAGGGCTCCCGTGGGCATTGGCCAACAAGTGTTCCAACGTGGAATGGAGAAATTACGACTGGATACTGATGCGGCGAAGGTCAGGGCGTTGGCAGACAAGATAGTGCAACAAGAGTTGATGGCAAGCGATTCTGATACGCCCCTACAAACCGTCGCAGACAAGCAATCATAACACACCTCTATTGGTATTACAGTAACAGTTACGCTCTTCCGTAGCGCAGCGGTGGTATTTACATTACACTGAACCGTCTCCACAAGACCCTCACGCTCAGTAAGTCTCGGAGAAGTGTCAATCCTGTTCTCTGGTCAACCGGTGACACCCCCCTTCGACCGCCGATTCACTTCTCAAATTGGTCTTTTACGAACTGTCGTATCTGAGCCGTCGTCTCACGCCTTACACTGACTGGAACGGTCGCTTTGTCTGGTGGTATCAGCATCAACTGCATCGTTAAAGGTGAAGATTGGGGCACACCTTCACCATGGAGCGTTATTTCCTCCAATATGGTTTTGAAAAGTGGCGGGTCCATCATACGTGCGCGCTCTGGCGGCATCATATATCATTAGTTCTTTCCATTCAATACAAGACAATTACCCTTTGCACGATGATACAATTCGTCGGACCAGCCTTGTTCGGAGAGCTTGGCAGATAGAACACGGAGTATTCTAACATGTTCACGGTGAACGACGTTAAGAGAGAACAAAAAAAAACGTACCTATCCCAATCCCCACTCTCCACCATGCGCCGGTGGAACCTGTGTATACAGCGCATCCGCGTCGGAAGTGGACTTGGTCATTATGGTCTGAGAAGCCAAAGTCAATTTTTGGGTAGCGTACCCGACTACGCCCAACTTACCCGCGAACAGGTTGAGGAATAGTCCTCTGTGCCTACCCGCCGCTTTACAATCCAACCATAGTAAATCTGACTTTCGAAGGGACGAGCAACTTACGGTGGGAGTCTATAGTCAATAACTCCGTAGACGCTGCTGGCAAGAGTACGAATCTGAATCACTCGCATTACGTCAGGCCAAACCATTTTGTATGGTTACCATTGAGTCATCATCCTAGACTTGGTACTCATACTTGCTACCACAACCCACATATGACCAGGACCACTGAGTTTCTCCGAGTCTAAAATATTGCTCTTACCACAAGTGATTGAAGGTACACATGGTAGAGTGTCCCTGAGTCGCAGCCCGACAGGTGGCATGTCACACTCCACCCACTCCAGCGTGAAGAGCTGGCCTGCCCAAGGCTGGCCTCGGGTCGCAAATCGGAGAAAGAAAGACATGAGAGTAGTATTACTGTCACAAACCATATGCGAGAAGGAATGCATGTAAATACAAGCGATCATAATGATACGTCGGGTATGCTGATTGTGTGGGTGCCCAACAGAATGTAAGTTATCTAGAATGCCAAAACTGCCGCGATGTGCAATTCGGCCAGGCAGGGAGGACGGTGGCGAGAGGAACTATGGAAAGTGCACACGAGTGTCCGCGACTTCCGTCGGTGCATGCTCTGGTCTAAACCATGGTCCCCGCGTCTTGAGGGTAGTGCGTACCATTATGGCGTACATTTGCGCAGATACCCGCCCTGCAGTTGTATAATGGAAGCAATGGACTCCTTGTGTTCGATTCGTTGTGCCGTAACGATAGTATTGAAGATCACCAGTGCGCCGGGTGAATTTCGTCGACGGAGCGTGGTCTCCCAAAACCCTGGCACGGGCTGATTACATTCGAGAGTTGCGAGCACGCCGCAGGCTACAAGAGCATTTTGGGAAAATAGGAGAGTACTACAGAGGGAAATGTAATATAAGCTCACTGCACGAGTGCTGTTACTTGTGAGACGCGCCCACTACGGAACCTACGTCGTCCGCAAGACCAGAGGTGAACATCAGCATGTACGGAATTCTGGGGTGAGCGAATGAACAATGCTAGGAGGGGAATCACTCACGAATTGCACATGAGAATCCGCTGCGTTCGAAAGCTCCGATTTGGACCATAAGCGAATGTCATTCAACTCCACGGTATCGGTATTTCATTAAGCATGCAAAACGATCCGAATGTCTTCCTGCGAAATACTGGTGTCTTCAATACGGACGCGTAGTGGCTGTTGGTCCTGTCGTATTATAAGCCATCGCGTGAAAGCATTGCTTTCTCTGAGTAGGTGGCGCCAGCCACATGTTGGGGTTCATGTCATGAAATACCACGCTTTCAAGGCTTTTCTAATAACCCGCGGATCCATCGATACCTTCGCAGCAATCGAAGAACGCGAACAAAAGAGTTTTCGAGTAAAATTCTGCATGAAATTCATGCAGGAAACGCTCAGCAAAGAGCTTCAGTATCCTGAGTACCCAGACTGCTGAATGCTATTGCGAAAGAGACTTGTCTCCGAGGCCACCGAAGACGGCAGAAAGCGGACTATCGCGGTGAGCGGTATAGTCAAGAGATATGAGCCTCGGAGTTACAATTGCTTTGAAAAAATCATCCACGCCCCCGAGCCAGATGTTCAAGGTCTCAAGAACAGGAAAGTGAACACTGTCTGATTGGAGTGACCACGGTGGCATATCACCTGAAAGCGATAATGTGATTAGGGCCAGAACCGGGATAGGTTCCGAAAGCGACATGTCTGCGAAATTGTTGAAACTGATATAGCTCAGAGCCCGTAAAACGTACCAGGCATTGAGGGCAGAATATGAGAACGGTTCCTGAATTCCAAATACTCCAGAACAGGGACGTTTGTTGGGGAAAGGAACGTAGGAAAGGAGTACGCTTTCAAGTTGAGTGTAACACATTGAAGACACATTCAATCACCCGTTCTTATACAAGAAAAGCTTGACCATCTTGTACACGTACAGTGCTGTCACTTTATTATCACTGAGTATGTCTGAGGGGTCATTACCCTTGGCATTGGGATACATTAAAATTCAATGATTTACGATGCATACACGGTGACCTTGCCGTATCGAATTTCTTGATTTTCTTTGACGACGCGCGATACAATTGCAGCTATTGAAACTGTCTGCTACCTTACTGGAAGTTTGCCGCAAAATTAAATGGTTTATCTTAGATATGACAACAACATACAGCTTGAAGGAAACTGAGATTGCCCACCTACACACTCTACACGCTAGTATAAATTCCGAGTCACCCTTTTACTATGAGTTTTGGAAGCCTCGGTATGCTGGTGGTGGGGTCCTCAGATCCTCGCGCGACGCCTGATATGGGTGCCTCAGAGATCCATCAATATTCCGCCCAGGTTCTGCATATGGTGGCGGTGGTGGTGGATTGCTGGAACCATTAAACACAGGGAGAATCTCTTCTATATATGCAGCCGGAGTATAAAATGAATTGAGGTGGAGCCCATTCTCGTCCACAGTGGTAGGTTGCACGTTATGGATGACACGCGCTCGAGTAACCGATCGGGGTGGCTGACGTAACGTCTCGGTGGAGTGCTCCTTTGGTAAAGAAGACTGGTGAGATTTGTGAGCACACCGCCTGGTTGCAAGGAGAAAGGGCAAATAAGATACATGTGCAATGACAAAGGAAAAATGATATTCTGAACACACCAGATTAGTAGGAGTAGAATGAAGGATAGCGATATGCAGGCAAATGTTGGAAATATCCTATATGTTCCAACGTCTAGATTGATCCAGACTTACATGTGTATCAACACATTACACATCACATGACTTGCCTTAGCAATCAGCTCCACAATGATATCATAATGATGTCATCTTATATGTCATATTCCATAGCATTCTGCACTATTCCTTACTATACATAGTAGTAGTTTCCTTATACGCTACTGGTCCATGCATATCTACTCATGTATATAAACTTGGGGATTTTTCCCCTAACATCATCACAATCCACATTGCTTTCTTCTGTCTATATGACAAACTGAGCCCCTACTCACTCAGAACTACAGTTGCTAAAAATCTACAACCATTCTACTAAAAGGCAAGTGCTTGTGTCTATATTGCTCTTCGTTTCTCCTGTTCCTCTGCACAATAGGTTATGAGCCCCACCTTCTAGGCGTGTGAGCTATTTACGCATTTGCATCGGGCGATCACTGCTGATGGACACATCACGATGGATGTCGTAGGCCTAGATGCACTAGGAGTGGTTGTAGTTGTTTTTGCTGTGTTGCTTGTAGCTGGTCTTAACCAGTCTGTTCTTTTACTTCATTATGGCGGGCATGATCCTATTCACTTGTGGGAGCTTTTTATCTGCTCTACCATGTTTTGGTTGTCTTTTCTAGGTCTCTCTGCATTCTGGTGAAGGTGACAACTTCTGCTACAAGAAGCAGTTGTTCACTGAGCTCTTATTCAAGTGCTCATTCGTTGTCCTCCAACTCTGCCACCCTGTTACCTTCATTTTCATCTTCCCGACATTGATTTTGAAGCTGACCTAGATCCTGTACCTCTGTACGATGAGTTTGAGGCAGCTGATGCTCCTCTTCCTCGTTGAGCACTGACTCCTCTTCCTGAGGAGGTTGCTGCTGTGAATGAGTTGCTCAATGAGCCCATTCTCGCTATCATTGGTCCTCCCAATGATATCACTGAGTTCGACTTGCTCTAACCTCATTTGTCTTGCTTTACTGTCATTACAGGAACTAATCTACGGTCATTGCAAGATGTCTTTGGTCATCGCAAAGAAAACTGAACTTCATGTTGCTGAACAATGTGACGGGATGTATGAAGGGGCTAGTTGGAGGGGGTACACTGTAAGAGAGATCGTAGAGTACACTGAGATGTTATATGTACATGGATGTTCCACTTGGAGAGAGGCAGTTCCCTTGTCGGTCGCTTTTTTCAAGAAGCCTAACCTGGCTGCTTGTCTCGTTCTGCTTCAAACCATGGAAACAGCATGGCAGACAATGCCCCACTTTCCCAGATTCGAGTCTCCATTTTTCTACCCTGGCCTTCATTTAGCATTTCATGGATATCTAACTGACTTCTTCCCCAAATTATCTCATATGTCAACTCCGCATGCTATTACAAACTTTAACGGTTGCAATCTTCCCTCAGCCTACTATGAAGATCCTTCCCTTGACACTGTTCTGGCCTTCTCGGTCACCCATGATACTTTCGTATACATCTACTACAACATCCACCCACTCTATGACCCATGCTTCAATGGGGTCATCCCTCCTCTCTGCCTTTGGAACCAGCATCTTGAGTTCCATTTCTGAGGAGTTTGGGTTGATGGCTCCACAGACATCCGCTGTGTACCGAGATGGTTCCAAGAATGCCGACGTGGAGGAGACTGCTTTGATAGTGGTCTCTTTAGGTTTATATGATGGTACCGGGATGAAGCTGATCTGGGAGGTACCCTGTGGTATATGACTTCTAACAGGCATCTTTCATGGGGTACAGACCCCATTAATGCTAACTTTGCTTACTGGCCCAGCACAGCAGAGATTCTTAGTGATCTCGAATGTGTCATGGAGACGAGTACTTTCGATTATCTTGCAGAACCCTGACCTTGTAGAATACGCACTACTGCTCTTAGCTGAGCTTGTGAAGCTTGCACCATACGTCACAAGCTATCCTCTTCCAAGTACTCTGGATGTACTGTACGTATCAGGAGGGCGAAACCATTTGGGAACTAGTAGTTGTATTATTGACGAATCTTACAATTGTCTTGAAGTTCTTTGTAAAGATCTTCATTTTTGTCATTCATATGCTATTAATGTACCTTATTCTTGCACTGATCCATATCTTGGATTTCATTTGGATGGAATACCATTGCATGATTGCAACTGGAG